CTGGAGCCCTGAGATAGACGGGCTGGAGCCTTCCCAACGGGATTCCAGAGAATGATTTTTCCCAGAGAAGTCTGGTACTAATTTCGAGACACCGGATGGATGAGAGGAATGGTTGGACCGCAGCGGAGTCGAACTGGCACCATGCTCGTGATAACGGGCATCACTACTACTGCCCTATCCGCCACCTGTCTGTGATCAATTTAAATATCACAAATTCATATCGTGTAAAATTATGTGCTTTGTATCGTTAGAAACACATTTTTTATATCTAAGCATGGATCTAATTTTACGTCAACCATATTCATTACAGTAATGACACTTAAGAAATCTCGAGAGACTCTCAAGTAACAAAAAAGGGAAAATCATAGTTAGAAATAAAAAAACAAAATCGAATTCGGTGATAAACAGCTGCGAGTAAAATCGATAATTGATAATATCAGTAAAAAGCTAATATGATAACGCTCAAGGCAAGAAACACATCAAACTGGAGCAAAAAATTAGACCAATTGCTGCACTTTTTTATTACTAGTCTTGAAAGAAAAAGTAGTAAGTGACAATGGAGAAATAGCGTTGTGGTTAGTGATGCAGTCTACTAGGAAACAGTATTCTGGTTCGAAATCGATTCGACCACTGTTCATCTACCTTCGTGATAGAAAGAAAATCCTGAAGCAGTAGCCGAACCCACGTGCAAAAAGTTTGAAGAGTTTCGTGAACGATGAATGCGAAGAAAGTGAATCCAACGAAAGAAGTACTTGTATACACACAGCTGACGTATCATGCAAATAATAAATAAAAATACCAAGTTATCGATTTTCTGAAATATATTGGTCAAGGAAATATTGAAACCGCACTCTTAGAGAGTTGGGAAGAAAAACACCCTTCAAAATAACATAGAAGAAACAAACATCGAATAGTGGAAAAACGGTGGAAAAGATTTGGAAAAGTAGTTACTAGACACATTATCATTATCATGAATTTTTAAGACAAGGAAATTAACGACAGCATCGAAAGATTCATATTCATGGAGGTATCATCTGTCACATAATTAACGCATGAAGTCTTATAAATCACTCATGACGCCGATAAAAACCCGGATTCCCTAATGCGTACAACCGTTGTTTCTCCCACTTACTCCAGTTGATCTAGGCTTAGGGTTATTATTTATATACAAATAAAAATTCTGTCTTAACCGTTTTATTTACTGTCTACTCTTTTTGATGGCAGGGTATATTGCGAAATATAACTTTAATGATGCTGAGACATATGCAAAACTCCGGACCGCAGGTGTCTGCGGTGAGGAACGAACGCGCTATTGTCCTTTCCGGGGAGTGACGCGCTCACCGTCACACCATGCGGGTCCTTCGTTTTGCCTATTTCTTCGCTAGTTTCTAAAATTCTTTTAATTCTTTAAAAAAAATAGTCTCTAAAAAGCTAAAAATCCTATTTCGCCTCCTACACTTCTGAGTCATGTCCTGGAACAAGTCTGGGAGAAGACGGTAAACTTCTTACCGATCCATAAAGGTTTTCGACCATTTATAGCGACCGTAATGACAAGAGATGACTTAGGGACACTCTAGGAAGGCCATCTAAGGACGCCACTCAGAACAACTCTGCCCAAACACGCAAATACCAACCGAATGGAAGCTTTGACAGGAAAAACACGGGCTTGTAAAAATGGGCTACACGATTACCCAAATGAGGTTGATTTTCATTCGAGAATCTACTTCAGCAAAAGTAACACATAAGTCATTGTTTGTTCACCGTGAAAAAATAATTTGGAGAGTAATACCGTCAAAGTAACTTCTATATGAAGCTGCATTGCGATCATACAGTACCGTTGGATTCATCATCAGTAAAGCAAAAATCCTCAGATTCACCGGAATCAAATAAAGAACAGTCGCATTATCTGAAACTATATCTGATGAAATCCTGACTTTTCCATCTGCTGACGGCGATCAAGTTTATACTCCTGAAACTTAGCCTTCCGTGGAGAACACAAAAGCTGTTAGCTCCGCATAGCGACAAAGTTCAGCCTCGAACTTGTTGCGCACCAAGCACCGTCATCAGTTATTCTTTTTCAATACTCCATATCACATTATGTCTCTATCCTTCTCTCTTTCTCGCTCTCTTAATGAACTTCGTGAGTTTTCAAAAGAGTTGAAGTTGCTTAAATTCCGTCTTCTTTGTTAACTTTTCGTCCTAAACTCAAATAAGGCACTACGATAGCACTTGTTCATGGTTACAATCGTAGAAGATTATCGGCTGGTCATTTAATCATGTCTAGCTGAGTATTCCGACTGCCAAAACAATCATTAAGGACACTCGGACGAGACAGAAAAAAGGCAGGAAGACTTGCCAGACGTGAGATGAAATTGCTAAGAATCATCTGTGAAGCACATGTTCGTTATGTTCGTTACCGCTTTCTCGCATTCCATTACGATGACGTGCCTCTCGTCGATTTGCAGTGTTCGGCATTTTCACAAGTAGCATCTATTATATGCATAAATATGCTGTCATGCCGTCACCTAAACTTGCTGACAGACGTATTAGGGCTGTACTTCGTCTAGAAGCCGATAATGTTTAAATCTTTAATTACCACCTATCCTTTCTGCCGATATTATTTTTCGATTACGATTGCCCAAAAGAGAGAAAGGAATAGAAATTAAGATGGCCCAGTCCCATCAGTGAAGGTGGACCAACCAAGTGCCCAACTATTTCTTTTTCTTATGGGGGAGTTTGATGTGAAATATAATCATAGCGATGGTGAGATATGAGCAAAACTCGGAGCCTTTGGTGGGCTTCGAACTCGCGATTGCACTTTCCGGACGTTCATTTACTAGCACCGATAGGGTTGAAGCCTGACTGAGAAAAAAACATCGCAAGAGCTTGTGTTTGGTGGGCTTGATAGCACGTGACCGTCATAAAGGGTAAATGCAGGTTCGAAGCCCAACTGAGGTTCCGAGTTTTGTTTATATATATCTCGGAGTCATTTCGATTAAGAGCTAATGCTGAGAAATTTAGATAGTCGACTTTGCTGTCTATGATGCTGTACTTCAACCAGGATATGATACATCAAAGTTTAGAGAGTTGACCTTCTTCTGCCGGAACTAATGCTTGATCCATTCGTCTCGTTGTCCTGCAACCTTCTATGCATACTCATAGTTCGTGCATAGGTTCCACTAGGGCTTGAGAATTTGCTACCATCTCTCATCGAAATGGTGTATGCTCGTCGAGCATGAGTCTTCGTAAAGCGCCGAGATAACCGTTCTAGGGTTTTCAAAACAACTGATTATGTTTATCATCACAAAATCGATAACGGAATTTGTGAACAATATAGTGTGTTTTATAATTTATGTATTACCATTGAACCGTCTCTTTGTCGTCGTTCCGGTTTTGTCTACGATGTTTATCTTTAGATTGATTTCTACGTTGAATCTCATTATTTTGCAACATAATTGGAGGAATGATCGATTGTGAAAATCAGAATACGTCGGAATGAAAACGTGAAGGAAAAACAGCAAAAGTGAGGAAAAATGATTAAGCACGTAGATGCAAGTGCGAAAAATCAATAATAAAACAGGAAAGAGAAACTAAATCAGAAATTTCTCCTCAGAAAAAGATCGCTCTTCATTTTGACTTTATAGATCCCATTATGTCACTCGGAATTCACACTTCTGCCTTCATCACGGTATCAGACATTCCGCTTGAGAGCGAAAATTGAAATAATTTTACGCGACCTTTAATACGTTCACTAAGCTCATGCCGCCCGGAAATCCATAGAATGCGGAAATGTATAGAAAAGTGTGACTGGTAACTAGCTGTGAAGCGCAACTTCTACTCACATGAAATTCAAGAAATTTCCCAGAATAGGAAACCTCTGTAAACGTTTCTCACGCCGGAAAGCAAAGCATACGCATTGATCGCCAAGGCTCTACTCTACTCACATTCGAGTTTTAAACGTCAGAGACCTCCCCTAACTTCATGAATTATTGAAGACATAAGTTTAAAAAAGACCTAGATTTCCTCATGTTATATATATACTGTGAACTTCATAATCACATTACTAGTTGGCCTTTTTCGAGAACAGAACGCCAATAGACAACTCGTCAAGCTCTATTGGATAGGAATGAAGTTATTACGCTTGATTCTGAACGGTCTTCGACGCACTTTCATGGTGGCTTGATCGCAATTCCAACCTTTTCTCCTTGCCCGAATGGCGTTCTTTGGTTTATCACATTTCCCGTATATGTGCAAGACCATTCATATGCGCATGCACGAACGCTACCACGTCCGAAATGAATTCTGGGATTCCATTTGGCCAAGAAGGGACAGATAATCCTTATCTTAAATCTGTATCACTATTTGAGGTTGCGTATATGCTTCCTATCTGTCCATGTTTAACGCCTGACTCGCCACCTTAGAACGCGGCACATAACCCTACGGCTAATTAGCTTAAAATTTAGATTCACTTGAAAAATATCGATGGTATTTCCTTCAAAAGCAACGAGTATATGTTATTCAAGAAGTGATTATAGAGTGAGGACAGCTCTGCTAAGCTTCGCCATTCCTTTCAAGTGTTGTAAGTGCAAATTTACAAAACATACCACTATATTTATTAAAATGTCAAACATGAGCTCATATATACTATTAGTTATCTACACAATAATCAACAATGTAATATTCATACCTAATACATAACGTTATACAGAGTAAATTTCACAGTTTGAAATATTCAATGATGTAGAAAGCGTAGATCTAACCAAGAACTACTTCCCAAGATCAGATCATCTAAGTTCACTGTTGTTTCAATTTAAATCGAAAATTGGACGGACCGGTACTACCCGTAGGATGAGAAGTTGTGAAATTCGATAGTAATCAAGGATATCTCTCAACTTGCACTTTATTAACCAAAGTGTATTACAAATCACAATTAGAAATCAAATTGGCAGTATTCACAGTAGTGTTCCTGTACACTATATCTGAACTGATGCATAACCTAGTCAGGTTGACAATGACTTCGATTTGGAATAATTTAAGTCGACGGCTGTTTTATCGTTGATTTTACCATTGAGGGTTACGGATTTAACATCTACTGGTGTACCGCTTCCGTTCACTACGATCCGGGAAGCATCTGCGTTTGCCGCTCGACCGCTTGTGAGCACCGCCTGCAAAGTGCGACCGAGCGACTGCTTGTTTAGCGTTGCCATGCGCCGGAAATCCATTGGAGCTGCTGGCGCAGGCGATGCGGCACGTTCTGTCTGCAAAATACACACTCGTTAAATACATGAACGGAACTGTCAGTTGGTCAATAAACAACTGAATCAGGAATTACTTGTTAAGTGACTTAGTTATTAAGTGCAGTCTACCCAAAGATCGATCCCGGTTAACCAGCCTCCCTCCGTGATCGAGATATTGGTACAAGACTTGTCTGAGTCTAGCTCACTCCTTGGAATTCAGATGGGAACGTTCTAACCCCACTATTCCAGGATTTCAGAAATAATCTACTTGACCGATAGTCTACCACGTCCATAAAGAAAACGCGACCCCAAGCAGTAGCTGAACCTACATGTGGTAAGTTAAGACTTTCGTAGATGGTATAAGCGAGAAAACGAATCGTATGCGAGAAGAGCTAGGACAAGCACTGTAGATGTCGGAAACGATCATGCAAAGGAAAAAGTACAAAACAGCTCTCACCGTATACGGAAAGATTTGAAGATTTGAGTACTTTTTATGGAAATTAACATGGTTTACTCTTAACTGAGTTATGATAGCTTAAAGTTTAAAGCGGCAATTATTTTCGCACCGCTTCAGTGAAAACCAACTTATGCTTGTCCCTAAACGTTCAATACGTCAAATATTGTTACATCACTAAACAATCATCAAAATTACTCCAAAATTTCGAAAATGAACCGCAAGGAGGAATGTCTTATCATCATGCGTGGCCTAGCGCCATACCTCAGCTGATCCAATGACCTGACACAGTCCTCGCCCATGTATTATCTGTGAAGCTCCTATCCACCAATCAACTTAGAAACTTACAACAAATAGATGGTAGGTGTTTAAATGAAGCTGTTTCTTATGCGAATGTAAATCTATTTGTTACGTTTTAACTGCTATGACTATGAAAGTGTTTAGCTGAGTAGATCGCATCTCAATTTGACCTTTCCAGGCTCTGAAGATGGCGAAATCGCCGAAGTGTCAGCTATTGCATCTTAATAAATTCTATAGTAACAACCTCGTACCTGCTTATTGAAGAAAACATCGAATTATCAATCAATACCGAGGCTAACAGAAAGTCGGTCTTGGGGACGTCAATATATTTCCTCGACGTTACAATTCTCAATAAACGTCGTCTACTTAAAATGAAATTGGCAGTGACGTCCACTGTCCAAAAATAACATTAGCGCCTACTTCAAGCTGCGATTATATCCATGGACGAATGAATTAACACAAGAAAACATAGAGATTAACTAAAAATAGGACAAGTTCCTGCACAGTTCAGTATCTTAAATCTCATTATCTTTAGATGTGAGGAACAGAATCGAACAGAATCGCATGACCCCAGAGGACCAAAACATTCCAAAGCGTCTACAATTTTGCAAGGGTATTCCTTAGCACGTCTAGTCTATTATGAAAGGGATTAGACGATCAAGAGTTGTGCAGATCATAGCTCTGTATTTTTAAGACAGAAAATAGCAGGAAAAAATGGAAAATTGTGATGTAAGGCTCACCGTGGTTAAATTATTGGCCGCCGTAGTCACCACTTCTGGCTTTGTTTCTACAGTTATCGAGTGCTGCGGAGGAGTTTTTGGCGTGTTTGGTATGACTGGCGTCATTTGATTCGCATCCCCATTGGGCATTTGCGGCAGCACAGTTTGAACAGGTCGTAGATGTTCCGACGGTGACGGCTGCGCAGACGAACTGATCGGCTTTATTTTGGAGACTACATGATTACTGATGCCGTTTTGCATCTGTGAATTCCCTCGTGGCGGTTTGTTGGATGGCTGTGATTTGGATTGCGAAGTCATCGCCTCAAGACGAGGGGGTGACTCTGGTATCTTCAGCACACTGCTTGTGTAAGGAGATAAGGGCTTGCGTTCTAAATTATTTTGTTGATTTATCACTTTAGCTACGGTTTTCGTATTCAATTTTTGTGTAGTTTCAGAATTCGACAGAGACTTTGACTTGATGGTTTTCGGCACAACACCCTTTGGTGTCTTTGACGAAGACGTATCGTTCTGAATATTTGTGGGCCGGTTGACATCCAACTCCTCAACTTTGCACGTATATGGAGAAGGTTGTAAAGTTTCCGGCAGAGGTTGGTCTTTTTGGGCAACTTCCAATGAAGGTGGCATCGCATGTTGCACTGAAGGTGTTGAATCGCTCTGGGATTCACAAACGGATGAAGCAGTGGGTGATTTCGATACCTCAGTCACCGATGAAGGAACGTTTAAAGGCACAGAATCCTCACGATGAAGTTGGGGAGGATGATCAATGTTGTCACCTTGATTTGGAGTCGCGGATTTCTTCGGTAGTGAGTTCCCATTCGAAGCTGACACCTTAAACACGATTCTAAATGACGCAAATAAAAACAGAAATAATTCCTAGTTAACGGACTTCCTAATCACTTGTTCTACTTTTTAAGTTGCCTGTATTTCGAGTTTCAGATAAAAAATAGCAGTAATTTCTTAAACGTTTACGAAAATAAAAGCAATGAAAGTAAGAAAATGAAACTAGGAACAAATAGCACAACCTTTGAAGCCACTTCGGATGTATTAAAATCTTTAGATAAAAAGAACCACTAGTGCTTTGAAACAAACTATTAAGCTAAATCAGTCTATCAAAACTCGAGAAAGTGAATGGAGAAAAAAAGATGTATGTGGCAGGATGTCAATAGAAAAAGACTGACCTTTAACAAATGACTTTTCTTTCGTAAAATAAGTAAAATGATCAATTTAAGAGAAATATGTCAGTAATAGTGAAGTCAAATTGAAAACATTGAAGAAAGACTTCACCTTACAACATTCAGATATATGAAGAAAATAAGCCTTAACAATATTTTTGGTAAAGAAAGCCCATAAAATGTCTACAAAAACATTAAGATAAAAAAATTCTTTTCGAGAAACATAATAGGGAGCTCTAGTTTTACATACCTTTGTTGACTGAGCGAAAGACATATGCGAGACGTTCGCATTTGGAGGAGAACGATGCATAAATGGTGGTTGGGTGATGAACATCGGTCGTATTAACGGGCCAACGAGCATATTCGGCGTGACTGATGGTGGATGTGGCCCAGTAGTGTTGGGTGGTGACTTCTCCGTAGGGCTTTTTTTCGGGTCGCTCAGTTTTCTGCGTTTACGAGGAGCACACTGCGTTGTAATAATAGGTGCTGAATGACCATAGATGTCCGTCGAGAGGCTGACGGTCAACGCAGGAACTACTGGAGAAACAATTTGAACTGGTTGTAGCTGACCAGGTGGTTGAACACTGGATAGTGTCTCTTGGTGAACTGGAGCCTCTGGCATTAGACACGGCATCGTTTCAGCATCCAAAACTGGTGGAGCATCGTCGCTGATAGTTGGGACGAGTGTAAAGAAGAGACGAAATGGCCGTGAGCGATCGAAACCTCCATCTAGTACCAGTGTTCGAAGGGTTACATCGTCAGGAATATCCTGAAATGTGGTGGATAAAGATGATGTACGGTATATTCCAAAACGGATGAGTTATTGCTTACCTGGAAATCTCTGTCTGATAAGAAATGGACGCTAAACTGATCAGTTAGAAATAGCTTCGTTTCAAGTAAGCGACGTAGTGTACGAATTGGAACTTTTGCAACGCAACGAAAAAATCGACGAAATGACTGCTGCACCTGGCGTTGCTCACGGCACTGAAAAGTAAAATACTTTTGTTCCGTGTAGCTTGAGGATAACTCTTCAAAACGAAACGAACTTTGACAGTTCAGATTTCAATCGCAAATTCAATTGATTTCAATTCAAAGTAAACTACCACCACACCGCATATGAAAGTCCTTTTGATAGATAACGGTAAGCAAAAACTATAGCAAACAAGGAATGTTCTAGAAAAACGGGTTCTCGTCATAGGCAAAACAACTGTTACTCATAAAATGCAAAAACGATTACCTATTCTAGGTCTAGTGAACTGTACTGGATAGGAAAAATGTTCGTAAAACTACGTATTTCATCAAGGTATGTGGAAATGAAAATCCAGCATAAAAGCAAAAAAGAGTAAAAAAAAAAGACGAGATAAAACAAAAAAAGACAATCAAGAATCGTCTGATCTCACCACCACCTTGTGTTCCTCCCGCTGTAAGTACAAGATGAAGAAAAAGAGGAACAAGTGGAATAGCACTACCGTAAAGATTCAATTAAGTAGGGAGTATGATCTTATTAGACCAATTTATGTAAAATATAGTGGAATAACTACTGGAAATCAACATGTGAAGTTAGTGCTTCAAACATTTATACTGGAATTCTACATGTGAACACTGTTAAGTTAAGACCCGTTCTATGGACGGAGTCAACATCAAAAATAACGAAGTGTACTCTCTTACATACCTTCTTAGTCTTCTTGATAGGAGGTTCATTCTGAGTGGATGTTGAGGTAGAAGGATGAAGCAAAACCGTATCCTAAAACATTCGCGCAGTCTGCTTAGTAATTGTACGGCCAGAATAAATGTGAACAGGATCCTGTCGAGTTGAACAAACCTCTTCCGTTTTTTCGATAGGAGGTGCCGGTATAAACTCCAAACAAATAGAAAGAAGTTCTTCCGGATCACATATCTCGGCGCTTGCTTGTGCTAATTCCCTGGAAGTAATACATGAACGATAGTTTTTCAACCATATACAAAGCAGAATATAAACGAAGCTAATATCTTCGTAGAAACCACTTAACACTTCAATGTTTCCTCCCATTTAAACGTTCAGAGAGAATATTTAACTTTTTACGAAGAAATCACCCAAAAACTGACCGCTTCAATACCCAATGAAAAACTCATCTTCTTTAGAAAACAAACTATGTCACTTTGGCCCAAATAGTGAAATACCATAAAATCACAAGTATTAATAATATGGTGCATTAAGCCGCTTGATATTCAAAGTATAAAAAAAAACATAGAAAAACGTTTCCTTAAGCAGTGCCCCAATCCTTCATTACCTGCCTAGAATCTCTAAAAAAGCATTAGAAGAAATGTGATTCCAATCTTCTGAAACAACTAACCAACCTCTGCACCTTTTTATCATTTGTATCTACGATTCCTTTGTCCTTTTCAGCGTTTTCAAAAAATATTCGAGGCATGAACTTGTAGACAAGCATTTGCAATGTTGAATCACGATGGTATCCATTCTGACAAAAAGGTATGACAGTATAAAAACAGGATACAATATGTATTCTTTCTTTGATAAATTTACACGAGGTTGATAAACAATGCTTGTTCTCGGCTAACGTTTCGACGTCTTCGTCTTCATCAGAGCCGATGGTCCACAGTTGTTGGTCTACTAGGATCATCGGTTCTGATGAAGACGAAGACGTCGAAACGTTAGTCGAGAATAGAGATTATTTGCCAACTCATATAAGTTTATGAAAGAACGAATACATATTGATTAGTCATACCGAGATTTGAGGAAAATCGGTTTCGAAAAAATAATATACACATATGACAAACTACTGCGTTCTAGGACGTTGAACTCACTTTATCGACGTTCTTCTTGCATCCTTTCGTTGGACAAATTCCTGATATTGACAAGTTTTTCAAGAGACATTCCTCACAGACTGTAATGCACACATAAAAGAGCACAAGGGCAGGACCATCAGTATAAAAAGTGAAAAAAGAGAGTAAAAAGAAAACGCTAAACTTGAGCCGTATATTTAATAGAAACAGAAAACACATACAGCTGTGCATACATCCGGCTACTGTCACTGCATTTACAAGAAATCCATGGCACAAACCGCATTTTAAATTCGGTGAAGCGCTCATATTCCTGTAATGGGAACATTTCAGTGGATATACTTCACTTTCCAGAATATTATATGAAATTACTACACGTTAACGAGTAAAGTTATGACGTCAGTAATCATGGATTTCAACAATTTCATTCATATTTACAAAGTGTCAGTGAAAGACGGCAATCTGGTAAACCAATTATCAAGTTGCCACTCATCCATAATACTTCCTACACTAAAAGGTTTTAAAGCTTTAGGATTTGATCAACAATCATTAAGCGATCCACTATGCGTTCGAAATAGTCAAGCATCGTAAGGGACGACCGAGTGCACAACTGGTCCATGACTTGCGGTGGCTCGCCGATGTATCAAGTCAGTGTTTTTAACTGGATATTTTCCTTGACTAACATACATGAATGTTTTATTCAGTGCTTTTACATTCCTAGACAGGCCTGGCAGCAATTTGTTGGCTACGGAGCGATAGAAAGCATGGTTTGTCCGGGGCGCGGGATCGAACCAGAGATCCAGTGCACGCTGCAGAGCACCTCTAGCATCTATAATCATTGCACTAAACGCGCTGCCCACGAAGTTACTGCAACATAAAAAACTGTATTCAATTGGAATCGTTTGCAACCGAAATTTTGTAATTTCGACAACCAATCTAAAACGGGATGAAAAGATAAAGTGTTCGAGGTCTATCAATCCTTAAGCGACACGGAATGGATTCAACACCACCTAGCATGGTTAGAGGCGACTCAATGCATATCTGCCTTATACAATTTCCGGATGATAGTGGCACCAATTTGCCCAACTCAGAAAAATGGTACGTCGAGTCCGATAAATGGGGTCAAACCAAAGACCGCTTATGTATTGGACGGGCACCTCTAACCATTGCGCTACACGTGCCCCACTTCCTACATTACCCAACCTTATCACCATCAGTTGCAAATGCCTAGTGATAGTGAGATAGGCCACTAATCACAGATAACGTCGGGACTACGGCAGTTCTTTGTGACAAAAAGAAAGGCTCTTAGTCGAATTCAAAGGGCTCAACAAATGGCCGGATAACTCGCATTAGCGCAAGAAGCGTACGGTATAATGCTAATGTGCTCATGTGGGAGTAGTTAAACAGTGTCAGCTGCATGTGTTGTCGCTGAATTTCTGAAAATCTCCACTCACCACTAAATCATAGATTCTGGAAGAACGTAGAACACCACCTGGCCAAGGTCAGAGCTTGATACAGATGCCTCTATAGTACCTAAAACAATGAGCTGTTCAAACATATGAGTAATCGGAATGTTTACAGTAGTCGCCAAATCGCACGCTGCACTGAGCAACACGCGGACAAAGGCGCGGACAGCGGAGCAGAGCTCTCATTAACAAAATGGCCGGCCACAAAGAAGCGTTGTAAATTCAGCCCTCTTACAACAATATTAGGTACAAAAATGACGGCGCAGATTCTGTCAGAAGTACTGAATGCATGAACATCAACACTAAAGAATCAATCAATACCATGAGAGATCAAATCCTACACCACGATAGTGACAGTGAGGTGCTCAATCAGATCGGAAGTTAACTACTACACTTGATGAAAAAAGGATACAGACGAAATAAGAACATTGTGGTCTACTGTATTGCAGATCGATAGTCTCTGAGAGCAATGCGGCCGTCGCAGTGCTGAGAAGAACGTAATCAGGAAGACGATGAAAGACATGTAGGCGGGGAAAGGCCGTCCCCGCCCACTGGACCGGTGGTCATTGGCTGGTTTTCCAGAAGAGTGAGTTATAATAACTTTAGGACAAATAACATGAATAACAAAAAAAATGAACGATTACTGATGAATTCGACACGTTAACATAATCCGGTAATAGAATCTCTACACGGTAAATGTTGGGAGAGAGAGGACGGTGAAGACGGGCGCACCCGGCCAGGTAGCCACAGTATGTGGGCCGCGTCGCGTCCGCTCGCATGCTGCATCCCGCGTCTCGTGCCGTCTCGGTCGACGTGTGCTCTCCGCCGACTCTCTCCGTCTGCCGTTTCACGGAAACCAATCAACAGCCGACCGCGCTGCCCCACCCACTACCAGACGTCCTTCTTACTGTAGCGGACGGCTTCCTCGTCGTCTGGTGCCCTCTTGCAAAGAGTGTGTTCACTAGTTGTATGAGGACGAGTCACCCGTCCGCCACGCACGGCTCGGGGGAATTTCTGCTGCCAATCAATCAGCATTCTTTGCAGCCGCGCTCCGGCTGTATTCATAAGCCGAATTTCGGCCCAGTGTGTGTCCCGTGTGCTCCTATGAATAGCACAGTGTTGTCCGTTAGGAGATTGATCGAAAACTTTGCTTCAAAATGGTGATGTTCACTTGCCTTGTTGTATAACGGTAGTTTCCTAATCGATAATGCAAAAGTTGCATGTTAAGAAGTAAGCAGTAGATTTAGAAAGGATGGGGCGATGAGAGATGTTCAAACACGAGCCGGACGCGCCCGATACTCCGTAAATAAGATAACGATGATTCGCGGCCGTCGTCGCCCAGCCGCCAGTGCCGCCGCAGCCGCACCCCTGGTGGGATACGGTAATCGAACAGGTCGTCGTATCGTAATGAGAGTGAATCTGAGCGATCATCTAGTTCGTTCCCACATCGCGCTGACGGGACGGGGCGACGACGACATGACGATGCCGGAAGGATACGGTCACTTAACAGTAACATCGACGTTATTCAGTTGTATATTCATCTAGTCTGCACTTTTTCGCCAGCATCCCATCCCAAATGGGAATTGCGCTTGTTGCCCATTTGATCTTATAGCGTGACAAAACGAGCGAGCGTTCGTCCACAGCATGCCTTCCATCCGCGTGTACAAACCAGCCAAGCGTACGACGAATGGATTCTCCCAAGGGTCCTTGTTAGGATTGAAAGGAAAAGACCTATACGGATAGAATCAATGAACGCTTATGAAGTTGATGAGCTGACAGGCACTAATTGGTGTTCTACCTAAATCGATATCTCCCTGGAATTGGGAAAAAATTCAACATTTTGACTAAAACGAGGAAATCTATCAGATCCGAACCATGCCATAGAAGTAGTTCCAAGTGAGAATGGTGATAAGAAAGTTGTCATTCTTCAGGTAATGTCGAACGAAATCTATCAGTACAGTCCCATGCATTAATTTGCACCAACTAGCACAAAATCAGCACCATTTTGATCTCACCTCTGATACGATAAACACAGTTGAAGTGGTCCACTAAAATTGTCATCAGAATGCTCTGGAACAGTCCTTGTTTTGTCAGCGAGAAGTTGACAGCTTGACTAGTAAAGGGCAAAAGCGATGAACAGCGCTGATTTTCGCTAACACTACGGGAATGATCTACCAATATCGGTTCGTTAGGTCGATCGAGTATTTTGACCTCCGTCTGAACTCTTCGACCGATGCGAATCGTGCCTGTCGTTCGTTCAGCATGACGTCGATGACAACGACGACGACGACAACTCGATCAGAATGCGCCCTTGTCAACGGAGCGCCCCGAATTTTCTCCCCGCTCGATGTATATTCGATTCGGGTGTCGCGTGTACACTAACCACGATGCGAGTCGATAATAGCACATCGATACCACGCATCTATTGCTAAGACGCATCACCACCGTCTCCCAGCACATGATAAGAACCACCCTTACGACCGGATGGGAGATGACAGAATCTAAGCCATTCACAAACGCACTTCCCATGAAGTGAATGCTATTCACAAAGAACTAGCACTGCTAGGGCATGTTCAGCTCAATATGTTAGTCCGAGGACTATAATGACACGTAGAACTGCCCACATTGGTCGCCACAAGACGAACCTAACGTATTTATGATCATAAATTATTATGCACGGTAGAGACATGGGAAGGCGGCGCAGTGGCAGAACGAGGCAGGAAGAGCGGCGCCCGTGCGCGGACGGCGCAGAGACGCAGAGTGCCAGTGGGCGAAGGCCGCGCGGCTGCCGCGACGCGGGCGCCGCGTCCGTCCGCCCGTACGTCCGCCCGTCCGCGTCAGCGGCATTGCGTGTTCCGCTCATAGCGTCCGCTATCGCCACCTGTGTTGCAACACTGACGCCGAAGTCCATGGAACCGCTCGAAGGCAACGTGTTTGCCGTCGAAGCGCTGCTGAAGGAACGTAAACGTAAGGTACCAAGATTTACACTTGATCCCTCAAATTATTTCCGATCAAACAAAGTTCCGGCGCTACGATCGACATCTGAGCGATAAAAAGTTTGAGAATTGGCTCCGTTTGACTTGTCGTCGTTCTTATTCTTGTTTACATTAGAAGTTCCTCGTCCTACACACAAGAACACAGGTCTTTTAAGAAGCCTAGCATTTCTGTCTGCGTGCTTAAATTAACTCGACATTTCTCGTATATGGTCGTTTTTAATGGGTGACGTTTGGTACCGCTTGGTACTATTCAGTATTGCTCTTCTGAAAGTACCTTATACGTCCTGAATTTATCGTTCAAACTTAGTGGCTTAGTTGAACTCTCACGAAACTGGCATGGTCATTAAATTAATGCACCAAATCGATATCTAGGTTTGCATTGAAATTTATGCGTAAAAAACTAGAATCAGACTAACATCCTTTCAGATTATTATTTCTTATTTCTTCTAATGAGAAGCTTTTTAACAGTTGAGAACTTCCATCTTCTCAAAATGACCTATTTACTTAATGCGGAATCGCTGATTGCCTCATCGCTCCAATAACATTCGGCCTTTAATGTCTTCTGGTTTCGAATCCGTCCAAAACTATGGGATAAAAGGCGTGTAACAGTAATCGATCAATAACAGAATGACCGAGCAAGGTCGCCATACAAACGTTAGAAGTGGATACCTTTATTGATTGATTAAATTTGCTAAGGGGAATGACTCATTCGATGATCTTGTTGTGGTTTCAGCGTGTAACCCTCTTAGCTCCTCACCGTATCTCTTCTTTTCTTCCTCTTCTTTCTCTTTATGTTTCTGACCTTTCAGAGAATCAGAAATTGCAACGTGGTCGGACAGCGTAGAGTTTTACATCACAATTTATTAAGCACATAGTTATAATGAAAGGTATCACTGTGGAGTATTCACCATCACCTCTTTTTCACGCTTTCCATCCTTCACGCTCAATTTTCGCACTTGTGCTACAAAGATCTGAGATTTTTGCTTGCAAAATTTGGTCTAGAATTTTCCTAGTTCCATATTTTTTACCCTGTTTCAAGTCAGTCTAAATGTCTGATTTAGTGTTCCCACGCCTATCAATAGCGCAGGCTTCAACAGCAATTATCGATCGGTTTCTCTGCATTTGTGTGCAGTTGCCGAAATCTGATTTCACGTCATTTTTTATGAGATTCGGCTAGTTCTCAAGTGGGACACAATGTCATTTTCATGAGATATTGCTTATTTGAATTCCACGTTGCAATTTTACCCTAGTGAAAATCGATCTATTCCAGTGTTACGCTGTCTTCTTGTGTAAAATCGAATTTAAACCTCGTCGTCATCTTTCTGCACATATCATCTTTGCTTCAAAATGAAGTATTGCCTTATCAGATGCACTTCAATTTCTTGTATTTGGGAAGAGTAGGCGATTCTAGTAAAAACTTCTACTTTGCCGTCGTATTGTAGTATTTTCGCATAAGTCGAGCGTACATTGACATCTATGCTTTCATTCATGGCCTATTACGAGGCTGGTGTAGATGTATGTTCGGCTAACGTTCCGATGCCTTCATCATCCTCAGAGCCGAGGTCCGAGAAGATGGTTCATAGTTGTTTGTCTTCTCGATGTACTGTCTTCGTCGTCGTATCGAGTTGAATCTTCTTCCGTGGATTCTGCAGGATGGATTGTTCGGAGCAAAACAAGTTATTATCAGCTGACAATCACTGCTACCAACAAAACGCTGGATTACCCTGCCTTATTTGAACGGGGCTTCACCGAAGATGATCCGATTCGATTGGACGACGAAGACACTAGATCAAGAAGGCGAACAACTTTGGAAATCGACTCAGATCATCGGTTTTGAGCAATGCGAAGACGTCGAAACGTTAGCCGAATAGAATTTTATCAATCTCGTGTTAGCTTGTCAGTGGAAAAGTACACGTTGACTAGTTATACCGAAGCTAAAGGAAACTCGATCTTTGAAGTGCTGACGTTATTTCACGTAGTGGAACAAACAAGGTGTTCTTTTGGAAATGTGTGCAGTATATCCCGTGCAAACACTATTAGAAAGTATAAACACGTCTGATTCTGGGATTTCAATATGATTTATACTAGTTCGAATCATAATCACTTCACTAATTGTATCGCGTTTTAGGGAAAAACCGAATATCTCGTCAAATGGAAAGGTTGGGGGAACAAGTGAGTTGATCCTTTTTCAACAGGCTTGTATTCGTTTTTCGTTTAATGTGCTTTTTCCTCTGTTTTGCATAATTTTGATAACTGTGAATTATTATCGAAAAGACATTTCTGTAATGATCGGCAGTAATCTTCTCGAGGTTTGAAAAAAGTCGACGCGTTATGATGTCAGTACCTGGGCAGGACTTGCTGAATTTATTGGCATTCAGTGGTCAACAGGAGAGCGTATTTGTGCATGAACCTCTCTGTTTATTCTTCTAAGAGTCCAGTCGATGGCTAACTCAAGTAAATCAATACATTGGTACTCGTGCCCATATATCCTTGATCGATCGCAATCGGTCGCATCATGTTGTTTCTAGATCGGTGTCACATCTCTTCAACCTTCTGACGAAGTGTATGTAGCTCGTCAGAAGATCAGTGTAAATCCTTGTCGTGGTACAGGAAGCAGTTCTCTATTGTTCATTTGTCGGATAGTACACTATGTAGCGCTCGTATATGTATGTGTACTATTAAAAAATGTGTAATGTCTTACATGGTAGTGTTCTATTCGCGACCGTTTTAGTTACCCTAATCCTTAGAAGCTGCTGAACTGCCTAATGGGAGCTTAATATCCATGAAAATGTCATCGTGCTTAATATGGGCGTTTTTAGTTTAACATAAGATTTTTGCGCATTCCCATTCTTATCATTGGTTATTCAAAGAAGAAAAGAAGTTTTATCTTTATTGGCTTGATCTCTGGTGCTTTTATTTGTTCGTCGAATATTTTCAACTTTTTGAAAAAGGATTTCTTGCTGTTAGCCCGTGATCGTTATCTTTTCCTTACTGCAGTTGCCTCATTTAGATAGCATCTTGACCGTAGATAAATTGAGTGATTATCGTAATATCTAGACAATCACGTCACGTACAGCTTTCTATCTTCTCCAACGTTATGTTTTCCTTACGTTGTCTGGTATATTTCCTGTGATTTGCTGAAGCTGTGTGCAAAAAATTGTCAACAAGGTAGGGAACTATTTAAAGAGTGTTATTAAGAAAGAAATTCATAGGGAACATCGTTTGACGTTTAGAGTTGGCCCGTGAAAGTTTTGATTTTAAGAAAATATGGAGGTCTCGTATTGCTTACTACACTTCGTGCTCATTTCGTATGAATAACTGGAACTTTAAACCATTTAACCGTTCTTAATTCCTATATATCTGTTTTTTATAGCGTATTCATGATTGGCAGAACAAGTACTAATGCCTGACAAGGCTTTTCTCTCCGTTTCTTCCTTCGTCTCTTTCTCTCTGGCCATTTCTATCTTTATCTTTATAAGTCGTTCTCTCAAAAAATAGTGCTGAGTTTTCAATTTCGCTTCCGTGAGCTGCAGAATTTCTAGGATTGGCTGCACATCGTATTTGTCGTGAAGAAGGCAGAACGAAGGTCGCCGTAGTGTATTGCATTACAACGCGGCTGTTTTGCAGGCACAACACTTGGGAACCTCGTGAGAATGTATTGGATGACCGACTGTTTGACGAATTTCAAAAGCACAAGCAAAAAAATAAGAAGAGAAGTTCAAGTGGAAGTGTGGGAAAAAAGTCTGACGTAGGTTATAAAGTGGTTTCATTAGCGTATTCACCTTTTTTTTTGTTTGAAATTCTCTTCCTTTGTAGACCACCACACCACCAACAAAAAGGCCGCGCCGATTAGCTGGTGGTGACATTCGCGATGAAAGTAGTGAGAGCAGTGACCATGGTGCGTAGTTTCAGTTTCTTTTCAAGTTTTGATTTTATTTTTCCTTTTTTTATTTTGGACAAATGCCTATTGTGAGCTTCCCAGTGTTTTTGACTTTGCCTTTTGCTTTCTCGTATTATTTTGGTTCCACTTAATGAGTGTCGTTTAGAAAAAGACTCCAGGGAGGGCGAGCGCTGTCCTCGTAAGTTTATATGGTAAAGTTTATGGCGTACGTTTATCGTGTTTGCATAAACTCGTTACTAGGGTGGATTTACAGGAAATAGATTCGGATTTAGAGCTAATGGTTTGTTACATTTCACGAAACCCATGTATTAGACGTCAATAAATATTAACATTTCCTGGTGTTTCACCACCTATCACAGTGATGTTTACAGATGACGAGACAGAATCGCCATCAACGTCAACGCAAGCTAAAGAGAGCAAGGAATCGGACTTTGATCAGAGTATCGTTTCGGGAGAAAGGTCAGATGCTGACTTGCCGTCAGAGCGTGAAGAACCTCGTTCCGATGATACTTCCACACCAGCAGAGCTGTCAGAAATAAAGGTAGGTACCTAGAGCTTTTAGTGCTTGCAATTTTATACAGCCGCTGAACCTCCCTAATATATGATGGCCTGAGAGTATCGCCATTGTCGAAGAAGTAATTTTATCTATTCAAAGCAATCTGTGAACACACAATATTGAGACGTCCAGTCTGATACCTGTAACATGAAAATGTAAAACCTGGTTTCCAAGCGATTCAAAAAATATTAACGTGCTTAATTCTGAAATAGCTCAAATGTTTCAAGCGGTTTGCTAAGGGCATAGGATTAACCTATGCAGAGCTGTACCATGGGTTTCCAGTATCGAATGTCCATACGATTCTGTCTCAGTTCTGATATAACCATTACAAACCACTATTAGAGGGGCGCTAATACGCGCACTCGCGCTAATTATCCTGCCCTAATTACGTGCTATTGACACATGTGCTTGGCGGAGAAGGCGTTATGCTTCATCTTATGCATATGTTGCTAAGAACGTTGTGGTATTAAGGCAACGAGTTTTATACTTGCTTAGACGGATGTCTCTATTTTGTAGTCAGTATATTAACACGTAGTAATTCCCATGACCGACTTTCTGTTAACCTCGGCATTAATTGATAATTCAATGTTTTTCATCAATAAGCAGACACGAGGTTGTTAATATAGAATTTATTAGAACACAATTGCTGACGTTTCGGCGGTTTCGCCGTCTTCAGAGCCGTTTATTTGTTGTAAGTATTTAAGTTAGTTGGTGGATAGCCGNCCCATGACCGACTTTCTGTTAACCTCGGCATTAATTGATAATTCAATGTTTTTCATCAATAAGCAGACACGAGGTTGTTAATATAGAATTTATTAGAACACAATTGCTGACGTTTCGGCGGTTTCGCCGTCTTCAGAGCCGTTTATTTGTTGTAAGTATTTAAGTTAGTTGGTGGATAGCCGAGTTATCGACCATGTATTACTCTGTGCGGCGGCTATCCACCAACTAACTTAAATACTTACAACAAATAAACGGCTCTGAAGAAGGCGAAACCGCCGAAACGTCAGCAATTGTGTTCTAATAAATTCTATATTAACAACCTCGTGTCTGCTTATTGATGAAAAACATTGGAGTATATTAACAATTCATGAGCTGCAGTAGTGCACGGTCTCCAAGATTACAACAATATAGCACGTACTCTGATTCTCATCGGTACTTCAAATTTATGCCATTTCTATGCTAACTTTATGGTATATTTGCAATTGCATCAGGCACCTGTCTTTCTTGGAGTTGGAACGAGGTTGTTATCGCGTATTCTTGAAATTTAATAGCTGAGAAAAACTCTTAGGAGGTAGAAAAAAAAGTGTACCGTTCTGAAAAAGGCGATATAGCTGAAACGTCATTCATTGAATGTCAAAAATATGTGATAACACAGGAGAGTTCGTAAGGTCATAAAAGTTAATTAATCTTGAAGTGCATCCGGAGATCGTTCCTTCGGATTGCATAAGAGTTATTGATATCCGCTTCTAAGTTAATGTATGATTACTAAGACACTTTTAGAATGATTGAGGATAGTATTATCTTAAAGTGTAGATGATGTGGGTTCCTCCGCTCAGGACAATGATAATAGCATTTGCAGTAATGTTATTGCTGACTGAGGCTGCTTAACGTTGATATTAGTGAGTTTGTGTGGGAATCGGATTGATACAGTAGTGAGGATGCGGGCACTCATTTTGCAATAGCAAATCATAATATAGGTCCTTTATTTTTGTTTCTCTACACATCTTATGTCATTTCTATGTTTTATGATAGCGTTTATACGCTTAAAGAGTTGCGTTTTTAACTTTGGCCTTCGTTCGTTCCACGAAAATTTTAGGCCGCAGTCGCTGAGTGTAGTGTTTTACCCTTAGCGGAGCTGAATACCGCAGTAAATGTGGAATAGTTTTCCATTGGACTTTCGGATTTTATTGATTAATTGTGTACTGATGTTCTTTTGAATCACATCCTTTACTGCACTGATCGATCCTCTTTAATTTTACTTATGAATAATGATTTCGTCTTTCAAATCATCTATGACTATAAACGCCGTATATGTCCATGTGTACGGATTACCGCACTCCATACTTCACCACCACCAATTGCTCTCTCCATTGTTTTAGGTGGTCTAGGGAATATTAAAATGGGAGAAAGTATTAGCGTCGTAGTAATCCTACTGTTTTTTTTTATGAGATTGCTTTGAGAATAATGTGCTGGTTGTTTCAAGCTACAAATTTGTGAAATGTTACCTATTGGAAAATTGAGAACAATTCGGTGTTTTCAAATTGTCCACTAAGTTAGCCAACGTAGGACTTCGTATGTACACGGTTTAACCATAACGCTGTTATGAATTTTTGTTTACATTTGACTTAAGAATACACTAATTTAGCTCACTATAGTTTGGCGCATACATGCTATATACGATGCGTCTTGCTACGAAGTAAGTCAGAAGGTACTACCTAGCTGATTAGTCGAAGTTATCAGTAAGTAAATCTGGATAAATCCTATTTTATTTTCTACTTACTCTTTATTTGCAAGGTACGGTGTAAATGCAATCATAGGGATGCTGAGAGTTGAGCACTAAACTCACGTACAAACAACTTTCTGATAGCATCGATAGAGTAGGTGCGTAGCTCAGGGAAACAGATGGGGTGAGCTCTCAGTAGGAGTAATCGCGGTATCGAAGCCTACCTGAGATTCTGAATATTGCTGACATCTCAGTATCCCTATGGTTAAATCTGTTTACTTTATTTAATGCTATCAATAACCTTGTTAAATCGTAACCATGGTAAATAGGGTACTTTGGTCACTTGCGTGCATTACTTTGCAATATTTATGTTGCTGTTTCTTTTTATGCGTAAGATTAATGGGTAAAGTTGGCATGTTTTACATCGCGAAAAACACGAAAACACGTTGTTTATTACAAATCGCTGTGATTTATTCAGCGTTTGCGTGGTACTTCCAGCTCTCGAAAGTTAAGAGTCGTAAGCATTAGCTTCGAGTGGATTTTTTCCTGGTATGAACCAATGTGAAAAGCTTAGAACGACGAGCGAAGTATGGTGCAGTTATTCAAGGGCATGCAGTAAAGTCGAAGGCGATTTAGATTCTTAAGAACCACTTGAAAAATCACTTCACCATAAGTCCGTCGACCTACAAATTGCTTTCCACTACCCAACTTCTGACCTCATTAACCGAAGAGTTTAGCTAATTGCTTCCGTATCGCGCCGCTAGGCTTTCAATTCGCCAATGATGACGAATGAGCGATTGTGGAAATAAAAAGTACTTATTTAGAGACGTAATTTATTCAGTTGAATCTACATTACGATTGCAAACTTTGAGGTAGAACAGTGGCGAATTCATGAGCTCGGGGTACTTACGTGTTTTCAATTATTTCCAGTACGAACTTTATACGTAGATAATGTTTGATTCAAAGTTTTGAAGTTCATATTACGGGATGATTTTACGCGGATTATTCAGTTACTTTGCTCATTCTAAAATATCACTACTAGAGCAAATGAGCGAGGTGCGAATGACTTTACAATGCTTATCTATGGTCACAGTGTTCGGAACCTCGGCAAATGTAAAAGAGTCATGTGTATCGCAAATTTTATCGTTTTGCATCGATGCCATCTTGGTGGTCAATAGTTTATTCTAGACCACTTTCAAGAATAAAGCCGGTAGAAATAAGCGGATATCGGTTGGAGTAAAGCACGAAGAAGATCGTGTTCACCTAGCGGAAGAACTTTGTGAAAAATCCTTTGGCGTAGACGACTCTGGAGACGCCCAGTCGATGCTAAAGCAACTCACAGAACAGGATTACCTCGTGGGTAAGTGAACATATTCTGTAGTGAGCATCTTCAAGCTTTTTTCTCGTGATTTATGTATAATACCCATGCTACAGTTGAGATGGACTTTATCACGCAGTTTGCTTTTTTTCTATATCGTTCTGCTGTTACGGTAGGTGTTATCGCGTATGGTAAATTTGATTAACGTCAAGGCCGTGCGGGCGCGGTATAGGGCTGGCTCGTTGCTCGTTTACATGCGCGGCGCTACTGTAATTATAAATTGTCCAGCACAGTGACACAGACAGCAATGGAGCGGTAGCTCAGCGTGCGTTTTTATGAGTGGCGCCTTTAACGATGTGGCACCGTCTGTTATTAAGTGTAGTGGAAAGTGTTCAACTTATTTCAGGTCATGTGACCTCGGTGATGGAGTCAGGAAAGGATGGGACACTGAAGGAGAAAGTGGGTCATAGTGTTTGCTGACCCTCACATCACATTTGCGACTTTTTCATCATTTTCGAAAGCGCCATCGATGATCGACGGTTTGCAGGCTTTCATTGCGGGTGGCACGAGTCAGACCGAAGGATTGCAACAGATTCAGCTGTGCGAAAATGACGAGAAAAGACTGCGAATTGAAGCGATCAAAAATGAGATACGGTCGGAAACGGTCAGTGCTTTCTAGTAGTCCTTAGCAATTTTTCTTCTGTGAATGGTTTTAGTTGTTTTATAACGGGTTGCTTTTCTCTGTTTTTTATTTCCTTTTACGCAGAAATTGAGACTGTAGTGATTCTTATCAAACATTTCTGCACTAGGCGTTCAAATTGTTTTGATATTGAGCGCGTATAAAGTAAGTGGTTTTCCAGTACAACTCTCCATTTGACTTGTTTTTGTCGACGTTGGTCGTTAGCAGGTTAAAACGAATAATTAGCTAGCTAACTAAAATTCAAAAATTGATGTTTAGCACTTTTGGAGACTATAGAAACAGTTGTAAAATCCATTAAGGTCTGAACTGTTCAGAATATAATAAGTCGGATCGCGGCGCATTAGAATCAGCAGCGTTTAACTTTGCAAATAAATGGAAGAGATAGTGTTAGAAGTACTGCGTTCTATTTGTTGCATGGACGTGCTAATTCCTTCCAATATGAATATTGTTGGCGAAAGCACTTCATACTAGTTTATATCTAGAACTCATTCACCTGTACCGTTTTCATTTCTTTTTAACTCTAGAAGTGATTCAAAAATATTTGCTTCCTTTCTCTTCGGAATTGATCCTTCACCACATTTTACAGGATTATTGGATTTTTCATGAATCGGCCCCAAGTTTGTCTCAAATACAGTACCATTGTTGAGTGAGTCATTAGGTCTTGACCCGGTCATATGTGAATGGAGACGTGGGGTAAATGATACCTACCATTGGTTACTGTGCATAAATACCACGCATATATGAATGAAAACGGTCAACTCACACTGTGTCATTTGTTTTTGATAGGAACACTTCTTTATTGTTCTCTTTAGTCGTCTAACAAACACTTTCTGGCAGCTTTTCAACTATATTCGATGTTTTAGATATCTTGGAGTAATCCAGATCGTCCATCGGAACCGTTTCAATACCACGGTAGCATCACGATAACTGATGTAACAGTGAATGGGCAAACATGTCAATTCATAGAACTTTAGGATCTTCAAAAAAGCAGTCGTTTTCTTAAGCACAACCACTGTTATAACGTTTGCTTTTCATTAGTTTGATTTCTTTCGTCGCATCCCAGTTTTCATTTCCTCATATGTCCGATGATTCTGCCAATCTTTGTTACATCACCATGTTTTTGTTTATTAACTGACATGTTGTACTTATTGTCGTGTATGAATGAAGGTGCACGAAGTCCACTTGTTTATAGACAATTCCTTGTTGAATATATAAAAAAAGCACAAAATGCTCACAATTGTGATAAAATTCACTTCATATTTACTACAGAACACTTATACTTCCTCTTTTTACTCATCGTGTGCATTTTTTTTCAGAAACCCATACAAACTTGTGTGGGGAAGTCAACGCTGCCTCCAATGAGGTGCACAAAGGCTTTTGCTAGCTTAAAGGGCATAGGAAGTGAGTATGAAACGAAGAACGTGGTCCGTTATGCTTTGAAGTTCTCATCAGTAGTGGTATTCGTGTTTAAACCGATGTCTGGGTATTGGGAACAGACAATGAGGTTTTTCGCAGCGATTTCCATATGGGAGCGCACTGAAGCTTTTGAATGATTGCACGCGGACACGGGCTGATACTGTGTTCGATTGCCATCAAATTCGCTCTGAGGAGTAGTAGTGAAGTAAATGACGAATAACAGACCAATCTCCTCAATACAATGCAGTACATACTTGTTACTTTATGGCATAAGTTACATGATGGCTACTCCTGAAACATTTGTGTAAAATGGTTCATGTGATGGTAACTTCTTTATAGTTTGATACTGAAACAGAATAGATCTTCGCGCATGAGGACGTATTCTAATCTAGTGGTTGTTAGATTTTGTTGGTAAAGTTTTAATTTTATAATATCATTAAAAAGTAAAAGAAAGCCGCGGATCGGTTTGTAAGTGTTGTTCGTGAGAAGGCTATTGTAGACATTAAGCTGAGACGGATTGGGACGAAACGACATTTGGGAAATGTTGTCTCTGTAAAATCTTGAATTTTAGGAGTGTAAGCGTTGTTTCTTCTTCCTTTCTTTCTGGTTTTCGTCGCTTTCATAGTCAGACGCAATTCATACTTTCGCGCCTCGTGAATGGCGGCTGCCGCGACGACGGCGGTGGCATTTGGACGAGTTCGCGCAATGATCATAAAGTTCCAGACTGGCTGGCCGCCCTTCATAAGAACATTAACGGCTAAAAAACACCTATCCGGTCTGCACGTCTGCTTAATAACAGCTTATGTCTTATAGTAGGTAATATCCAGGACATTTTTGCTATTTAATTTAAATTATAATTTTCAGTAATCTCAAATTCAGCTCACATAATTTAGGGAACCGAGGCGGTTTTACTTATTCAGTCACTACTTAATGATTCAATTGGTACATTCTGAAGCAAAGAATTCGTAGAGCAACGGCGAAAAAACCCAGGAGGACTTAGAGATCGATTAGAAAAATGGTATAAAATATTGCTATTGTGCAAGTGAATAGGTAAATTTAAGTTCTGCTGGACTACATCTCTATTGATTATCTTTAGTGCCAGGTTGTCCAATTGCTTACTAAGTTTTTAAATCGTTTATATTACTTATTGATTTTTTTGAGATTATAGAGATCCATTATGGAATTTACTAACGATCGACTATGTAGGAAGAAATATTAAAGAACGGTGATAGAATGAATCTACAACTTCTTTAACCTCTCCAACTATGCGCAATATTTACAATGATCTTTGAAGTATTGATTAAATAAGTGATAACCACGGTGGTATTGGTGATGATGGATGTGCCGATGACGATGGTGATAGTTTACTAGACTGGTTCGAACGTGGATAAATAATATTTGGAATAGGGATTAGTGAAAGAGATGTTGAGAGTAATAAGGCGTTAAAGGGTGAGGGGTCTTGTTATTATGATTCCACAACTTGGAGTTTCCTTCTTATCAGTGCAATTTGACTTAATAACGTATGCTTACTAACAGTTACAGTACTATTCAGACGTGAAATGACAGTTGTAAGATTCTGCGGAGTGGACATCATCATTAACGTCGGTTTATTTCCTCCAAAAAAAAAAGAGTTGAGCTGTTCAATATTCTATTGGGAAGAATTCTTCGATTTGTGTCGAATCCGACACCGAAGACACAGGAGTAGTTGCTTTTTTCTCGTACCTGGAAGGAACATGACGTTAAATAATCATTAGAAAAACAGAGATTCGAAACTGGTCGGAACTCTATAGTAACTCCGTAGTACTTTCTAGTACAAGGAAAAAGTCCGGAAACTTGACAAGGTTTACTTGATTTAACTGTAACAGCTTTCACTTTTCTCATTGCATCAGCGACGAATACAGTATACCAAGCCCTCCTGACCAATTAACTAATTAATGGGATAGTAACAGTCTTCTTGCAATGTTATACTTTAAAAGGATGCTGATGCGAAGTCGAATAGGAAAAAATTACGCAAGAACCGCTGCTTTCTACTTCATGAAGAAGAGTTTAGTTTTGGTTTAGGCTTTTCATATCAACCAAATATTGCCTGAATTCTGGTTAGTGGCACCCTGATATTTCTGGATGTGACACCCTTCAATGAGAGTCCACACAATACGTAATAGCTTTTCTCGAAATAAATGATAACTCTATTTGATGTCTGGCAAAGAACCGATCTTCGTCACGCTTTGAATAACAGAAAAATTCTGTTAGAAAAAGCTTCTTCAACTATCGCAGTTGTTTTCTTACGGATCGTTGACCTATACCGTGGATTTTCACTAACTTACTAGCTAATATCGCTTCAATGAACAATCAAACGACTTCGAAGGAAACTTATGGATATACTACAGTTTCCAAAGAAAATGACCCCACAATTCCTTGTTCTTCTTTATCAAGTGAGAAAGGGAGCATAATAAAAGAAGATCTCAAGCCTGAAGGTTGAAGTGGCACATAAGAGCAATGGCCGACATAATTTCAAAGGAAAAAATACTGAATAGAACAGAAAAATTACGCGTGACTTCTTCTACTCACCATTGAACTTAAAAACACATAAAAATACTTAATAGGCAATGTTAAGGTCAAATATAAGAAAAATATTGTGTCAAAGTAGGTTATATTCAGTTGGACTTCCTCATTTGAGCTATTGCCATTGTATTCCTTCCCTGGCACTTCCAGCGCTTATCACGAACTTCCGCCTCGGACCCAAGGAAACTATTTTTTGGGTTTTTTAAGTTTCATTGCTTTTTATCTCGACACATATAAACGGTGTTCTGATATTCTAAACGACGAACGCCGCCAACTACTGTCATGTTAGTGTGAAATTTCCCACACGCGTACACATTCATCCGACCTTTAAACTCTCTAGACACTGTGATGGCTTACCTGAACGTCTCTTTTTTAGTGTTCATTGTTTTATGTGTATGCGTATAAATGTGTGTGTGTGTTTGTGTGTGTGTGTGTGTGTGTGTGTGTGTGTGTGTGTGTGTGTGTGTGTGTGTGTGTGTGTGTGTGTGTGTGTGTGTGTGTGTACGTTCATATGTGCATAGATGCACGTGTATATGTGTGTATGTGGGTATGTATACGTGGAGATGAGTGTATGTGAAGGACGCAGTGCAATTTAATACGATAGCTCAGCTCATTAGTTATCGCCGACGGGTGACAGAACACGGGTGGCGGCGGAGACGCAGACGCATGCGGTGCATGAAGAGAGGACGCGATTCGCGAAGAGTGCTCTGTCGCTGTCGAACAGCTGACAATTCGGTCCCGTATTGATTGCCGCCGCAACGGCTCGCGTTACGGTAATTGGTTCGAGTCGTTTTATGCGGGCGCAGTATTCGTTCGAGAGTGGGCGCGTAACACTTTGCAAGCGAGCACAACGCAGCGAAACGTATATGGTATCCGGTTTGAGGTGTAAAATTCACTGAATCTACATCGATTACGAGAAGCATGATAGTACTTCAGTTGAACAAGTTATTCTTTAGGTTTTGATCAATTAGATGTTGACCAAGAGTAGAATTTTCCAGAAAGTTATGACTAACGGCTGTTTACAATCGCGCCTGACACATGTGCTTCCGCAATTTTTCTTGTTTTCACCAGGAATAAACGCATATCCAGGTTTCTTTCTTTAGTGGTTCGTGTGAAACATGAACGCAAATCCAAAGATTTTTATTCGAAAGAATCTACTTGGATGTTTTCAGATAGATGGAAATAGAAATATATGTAAATCATTCCACTCATGTCTAGAAATCAATAATCGACATTTGCTACACATTTAACACCGGCAAGCTCCGATATTAAAAGGGCATTAACATGGCTTTCCACGTAATTGATCGTAATCCATCCGCCCGCATTGCATTGCTGCCGAGTACGTTCGCTACGTGGAGGCCACGATAATCATGTCATGGATTACTGTAGATGGCGTGTGTATATGCGCGTTGTGTGTGTGTGCGTCTGTATGCTCGTCGTGTGTGTGTATGCGCGTTGTGTGTGTGGGTGTGTGTGTATGCGCGAAAGTAGTACGTTAACACAGAAGGAGACCTCATGCAGTTGACAATTGGATAAGAACTACAGAATCACTGAAAGCACCCATAGAAATTATTATGAATGCGGATTCCATTCGTACCACTTCCGACTTAGGTGTCATCTCATCATCTCTAAGAGGTACTTTGCTCTGTTTAATCACACCCGTATATTTGCGAAAAATTTTTCTCCATTGAACATCACTTCTCGAATTCTCTCTATGGGAAGAAAAACACCTTTATCTTCTATACTACGTTGAGGTCAACACTCTTCCAAGCTCTTGTAATTCGGTGTTTCTGTACAGAAAGAATTGCATAGGACAAAACATGTTCGCGGGCGAGTTTGCACAAATTATACGACATACTCACTAAGAATGTGATCAGACTGGTTTCTCGTAAAATGAATTTATCTGAAGATTATGCCATAATTCCTATCATGCTTCTGGAAATTCCATGGTGATTAGTGGTGTACGAATTCACATGCAGTGACAGGGCTGCATGAGTTCCCACGTTACTCCATAGAGATGTCGACGCTCTCGAACAGGTTTGGCGTGTAACTGATTAATACATCGATACTTTGTGTATTCGGATAGAAGCCAGTTGAAAACATTCCCCTTTTTTCGGCTTTTTTGTGGGCCGTTGTCGGTTAGTCAGCAACGACCTGCCCGTGCAACACACCAACACGAAGTCTAAGGCGAATTCGAAAATACTAGAAAAGTCAGTTTCATATTACGAGCTTCCTATATCCAAAAGATTTGTATTGAAATTATTTGAATGTGAACAGTTGTAGATGGTGAACGACGAAAAAACTTCGCTAAATAAGAACACAATTAAGTTCATTGAAATAACGTTAGAACTTAACCATATAGGTTCACGAAGTTACTTAGTTATGTTCTTGTCTATTTGACAGAAAACCATTAAGGTTTTCTTACCAAAGGTTTTACCAAGGAAACCCTTTTTAAAGATCTGGAATATTATTGAGAATTGATTATCATTAGGATTACGCTAATCACTTTTCCAAACGGTTTTTTCCTTTGAAGTGTAAACTTTTTACAAAGAAGTATCTCTGGATAAGAAGAAAAAATTGTTTCTAAAAAGTTAATTTCCGCTTTTTAAGGTTTAGGAATGTTTTAACATAGAAGTTCTGAACACGAAAATGGAAATTGGCGGAGAGAATCCTTGACTTCACATTAAATGTCGTTAGTCTATTCGATTTTTTGGAAATTTCCCGAAGGAAAGAACTTTTTTGTCATTTTATTCTTTTTAGACTTGTTTTTATACATAATACGACCATGTGGCTCGAGTTGGTAGAAGAAAGTCTTCCACTCTAGTGGAGAAAGAGACAAGATATTTTTTCTGATGATTACGCTATTGATAAGGATTTTCAGCTGTTTTCGTTTTTCTACAGTAGGGAACATCGTCGTTGGGCCGTAAACTCGCCCACCGAGCGATGACAGGTCATCGACAGGTCACATCGGCTGTCTGAAACCGAACGAGAATGGATTGTTCCGGCGATTCGTTTGACGGCCCGCCATTGTCGCCACTTTTCACTTTCGCGACAGTTCTTCTTTTTCACCTTCTCATTTCTTCAACTAAAACAGTACTCCATTGTGAAAAGAAACATGAAAATTATTAAAGGAAACTCTTTTATTCTAAATGATATCCGTGTTCTATTGCAGAAGTTTTTTTTTTATCAAAACAACGAAAGAAACAAAGAGAGAAGGCGGACATGAAGGAAAGAGGTTTTTCTGGAGTAGAGAACTGAAAGAACCTCACAAATGTTTTATTCCTTGGTTCTTTGGTACTTAACTCTCTTTTTTGTTTCCGAAAAATTGGTAATCAAAGGCAAAAGGATTTGTCTGTCCTTCGGACGAAACAGTCGGACATCGAACGAATCAAATACCTTAACTAAACACTGAAATTTTTACTCACGATGCTTCAGCAGGCACCAAATACCTCTAGATTTACCAAAGAATTTCTACATCACAAAAGTTGCTGATGGAGTTTTCGATCATCCAGGGGTGAACTGAAAGCCCCGAGTCGCCTAAATATTGAAATTTCTGGAATATTCTGGCATTCAATGAGTGAAAAAATCGAAAATACTCAACTACTGCGTTTCGAAAATTGAAAAACAGATCAGATAATTAGTGAACCTTCTGCTTCAATGCACAGTATGCAATAATCGGCATAGGTCTTGAACAGAAGAATCATTACGAAGGAGTTGAACGTATACGACCAGCCGCTGTAGCTTATCTGTGTCCCTATGACTTCATTCCTCAAGAGAAGAATTCAAACCTAGTAAATCCATAATATTACTAAAAAAAATCTCCAAATTTTTGATGACGACTACCGTACGATCTTCTCACTCGCCTAAGTTGAGAGACTGTATATATGCTAGGGGATCCTGTTAGGATAAACTAAATCAAAGAGCTAATAACACCAATCTTTGAGATAGAAGCCGGTCTGTTGGATAGATAATAGAGTGTTCATTTAAAGACTGACAATAAAACAAAACCGTGAACGCATTCGAGATCCGGAGACGAAGACGAGCGGTCGGTTGCATAACCACTTCATTAAATCGTTTGTTTTCACCCACTTTGTTGTGAAAGAACTTTGCATTCTGCTTGGTAAGCACAGTGTTTCTTTATGGTTTCGGCTTATATATGTTTAATGAAACGAATTCGGCGAAAAGGCTGATCGATATTCGATTGAAGATCGATTACTTCGGAACGAAGTATGCTTTGTTTGCTGCCTTATTGAAGCAGTAGGATCAGACATCGTTTAACTTCATGACTATTTTTGGCGTCGCCTAAATACGGAGCAAATTATGACCTAAAATAAATCGGAGCTTCTGAATGGTCAGAGCCCGTACCAGTTCCGGATAGCTTAAAATAGCAACAAATACTAACCCTGCAATGAACCTGGGTCGCTTTGCCATAGCACATGGTTTTGTTAGATCAGGCTTTTGGTTGGTCCAAGTCCCTGCCACTTTCGATGACTATGGTGGGAAAGAAACACTAGTGTACATCGCACTTGGACGCTTTTAAATACCTTTAAGAAGTGATGAGGCAAAAAGTCATTGGGGAATTACAGTTGTCAGCTACAATGCAGTGGATAAGTGTTATGTGCTCTACTTTTTTAGAACTGCAGCTAAACCGCCAGCTCATACGATTTCTGGTAGAATCTTCCACCTGTCTGGTCGAGCTTTACAGGTTGATTCCCTTGGAGGAAAAATCTTCGCTTCCTAAAAAACGAAACGTATTTGTTTATAAATCACCCGAATGGGCTAAAAATCATTATTGAGTTTGAATGTGAGCGCTCTTTAGGGTCAAGCAATCGGCCGCACTTCCAGTAAGGAAATGTAGACCTTGAAATTTCGGTGATAATGATGAACAACGCACATCAACTATAAATTATTGTTATCTAATGGAAAAGTATCTTTTATTCTTTCCACATATTTAAAGCGACGAATTTAAGTTTATGTCAGCTTCAACAGCGAAGGCATAGCGGTTGTTAGAGATGTCCTGCAATAAGTAGTGCACCGGTTCATGGTTCGATCTTACGTCCAGGTCTCACCAAACTTTCCATATCACCAAGTTCTACAAATTCGTGTCAGATTTGTCCAGGAGGATAAAAACAGTTTCTCGGTAAAAGCACTTCCATAAAAATACTTCCTCGAACTTCATCGGTAGGTCATTAATAAAGGCCAGATCTACATTCAATACACTCCATGACACTAGACGAAGTCGGAAGCTTGAAGGCGCATCGGTCAAGGATCGTTATTCTCTTATCCTTTATCAAATTCCAATAATCCGATGCTTTTTAAGATTTTCGTAATAACGATAGGTTTTTTTCTGAAGCATCTTGTAACATGTAAAAAAGATCGATGCGTATCTGAGGTAATAATTCAACATATAAACATCAGTGGAAAAACAACAAAAGAGCAATAAAACTATTCCAAAGCAATTCCCTCTTTTATAGACTGCGAATCGCTGCTTTCTATGTTTCCTGTTCTACTCTAGGCTCGACATTATCTAATCAATAGGCGTGTCCCCCTCTAGGCGTGATCACTCTGGATGTTATGGATATAAAAAAAATTTATTAAAACTATTACATTTTTTATATCTCAGTTTAACAGACAAAAAATACCGCTTAAAATGGCTTAGATTGTCCCAAGTTTATCTGCTCACGATTAAGTGCTAGAATGAGTTGAAGGGCGGAACCTATTATTTAGACCACGAGAGCTACAGCCGTAGTGAAGTCAAAAATAACCGCTATAGTACTTAATTATTATCATCAACAACTGTAGGATATGTGTAGAGCAGTCGTTTGAAGTGCTCCACAATACCATTTATTCGCACGCTTCATCTCATGTCCTCGGGTACGAAGCCCTCATAGTTGCAAGGTCAGAAAGGTGCTTAGAATATTGTATGGAAATAGTTCCCAGGATCGACTTTCTATTAACCTCAGCATTGGAATATGAATGCGTCGTTTTCTTGTTCAGCAATCGCGAGGTTTTTAAACAGCATACATTTACTTCCATAGAGAAACACAGTACAATAATACAATACAACACTAGCTGATTTTGAAGTAAAAGTCAATATCCTTGCACAGGAGACTAAAACACCAACGCGAAAACTTCTTGAGGCTTTCTGGATAAATGCCAAAACCCTACAATGAATAGCAGGGACGAATGCCCGGAGGTCATACGCGACCTGACCCCGTATGTTCGCATCAATTTCTGATGTGGGATGGTGCAATCATCAATCACATGCGACTATAATCAGCTGTTCTAAGCCTCCTCATTGGAAGTCACGAAAAAAGCGGTGGGTTTTTTCGAGAAGTTGTTGATCATGTAATTATTACAGAGTTCTTCGTCTTTTTGTAAGTATTATTGAAACGTTTGGCCTAGTAGATTGTATATCAGCATACCCTTCCAGGCTCTGAAGAAGGCGATACTGCCGAAACGTCAGCTAGTGTTGTATTGTATTGTGTTTTTCTATGGAAGAAAATGTACGCTGTTTAAAAACCTCGCGATTGCTGAACAAGAAAACGACGCATTGTATGGAAAAATCAAACTGTCGACTTGATATATTGGTGTAATCATTGAAAATCACTGTACAGGCATCTATACGACCAGGATGCTTAATGGAGTCAAATGCATGGCGTATTCTGCACAGATTTATCACCACCTAATGCTTGAGGCACTATTTGACAACCGTCGTTCTTACGTGGAATATGTCCTGCTATAGAGCTGTGATGTGTATATGGCGTTCATTCAGTGGCGAGGTCATCGAAGCTGCGAAATTGTTTAACAATCCCATAGGGAATCCTAGCTGTTAGCAATAACTCGTCATAGGATAGCAATCCATGTTTATAAGTGGTCTAACAATTACGGCTCTATAAATGGAAAAAATAAAGTATGAAGTTTTCGTCGTTGATCAATCTCTAAGGAATGTGTCATGCATTTGACTTCATCAAAGACGATTAGAAATGATCACACCTCGCCTATACAATGGCTTTCGGGTACCATCCTCCCAGACAAGTCTGGCACTGGTTTGCCGATCCCAGAGATGTGGAAGGCTGCGCGAGTACAGGGTATAACTGTACCGAGCTATTGACCATTTGTTCATCGTAAAGTACGTCTTATCATTGCTCTACAGCCGCCTACGCATGCGCATTTTAATATAAACCATGCTTAATTGGAGGTAATAATCATGAATTCTTATCGACAGCGATTGAATAGTGCTTAAGTGTGGTAGTAGATGGAGCAATTTTGTCTTAAAAAAGTCGAAATTCGGTCGAGTATTCATTGGTGGACTATTCGAATTCGAATGTTCGATTAAAGTCGAATCGTCAAACATATTTCCTTTTACTCCAGTGTTGTAATTCCTTGCAAAGCTACAGTCCTTTCTCCATACTTTTGATGTGTTTTTGCTGAAACTCCAATGACTACACGTCACTTTATTTCATTCTTAAGTTATTACTTGAATACTAAAACGAACTATTGAAATTGAAGGGAAAATCGAGTAAATCAAGATCAACACAACTCACATGAATCGATCGCTGGCTTCATCGACAATAAAAGAATCATCGACAAAAACAATTCCACCAGCGAAATCCACACAATCGGAAAAAAGTGAACATTACGGGATGGAGGAAAAGCTAGAAAAGAAGAAACTCGAGTTACGCGAAAAACGTCGTGTACGATCAATCATTATTGGAAGGTGAGCTTACTATTGTAGAAAATATTATTTTAATTGGCAGCTAAACGGAAATAACATTCAAACCTGCTTCTGTTGCTGCTGCTGGTCTCGGTGGAGTGCCGGCGCCTTTGTACTTTCTGGTAACAGTTCCCCTTAAATGGCGATCGACAAGCAGCACCAAAATTGAGGATTGATAATTTCTCCTTTATTCTCATTATTCTAACCTTTCTTAAAACAGAAAGTAACAAAAACAATAGCAGAAGATTGCATATTGTATGACTTATTATCGCTCGTCGTTGCTCGCGGTGTTGAATCAAAATCAGTCGATTCGTATAAAATGAACAAGGATATGACCACGATGCGCATGGCTACAATAATTGCTTTTTAAGTTATCGATTCCTATATTTCTGAACCTTGTTATGTCAAGGAAAGCGCTATCAGTCTTATCAGCTAGCAAAAAGCAATTGTTTTTTTATGATAATGAGAACCTTTTAGAGTAATTCGTGCTATACTGCACCTTCTGCTTGCAATCGGGCTACTCGTACTCGTTATTTTAGCGTTATACATAGTATGGGAAATGGGAACCACTTCTTCTGTCCTCGTACGTTCTCTTTTTTCATAAGTTTTTTCCACATAAATTTTTTAGTGAATTGAGGTGATGAGGTTTTGCTAAGACGAGAGGTCGTCTACAATCGTCTACAATAGGTTCTCATTACAAATCACGTAGAATGCAGCAGATTTTTTAACAAGTTCCCTTTTTATTGAAAAAAGCCTTCGAATGGCCATAGCCATATCGATATTGCTCTCAGTATTTTGAAGTTATTTTCGCACACAACAAAAATCCCAATACTTATCTGGAATATATTTGCCTTTTTATTTATCTAATCGTTTTAAGCGTACCCATTATGAGGAGTGTGTAGCACAGTGGTTTCGAGCTACTGTGTAATACAAACATGGTCCATGGTTCGATCTCGTCCCTTTGCCAAGCCTGCCTTCCACATCCTCGAAGTCGGCAAATTGGCACCAGAGTACTCAGTTAGGATAAAAACAGATTTGGTGCTTTACTAGGTTCCGAAAACCATCCTTTACCATATATGAATTCATTTACTTTTATGATAGCACGAATGAACTCAAATTCATAGCGTATGTTTGATGGACTGAACAGCCACCACTTTTACGCTTCAATCTTTATTGACCCCATAGCAACTTGAAGTGGTACGTTAACACGTACGGGCCTTACTCAACCCCTTCCTCCTTCCCGCGGCGCACACGTAAAGGTGACCTAGTCAGTTGACAGAGTTCATCATTCTTATGAAAACGTCATCTACTGAAAATAACACAGCAGAAGAGCAGTTGGCAGTTACCGAGGATAAAGCTGCTTGTGATAAATCAGTTGGGTTTCCTTTTGTGCCCTCAATGTGTACTATCATAATATCTTTTGTGCACTAAATGTTTGCTATCACAATACAAACCAGCACTTATGCTTGAAATGACCCGTTTCCAAGGATCGCAAAGAATCGACAAGGGCCGCACAATACTGGTAATCTACTAGTCCAACAGTTGGCTGTGATTTTGAAATAGTCATACTAGTGCTTTCCCAAGCTGTCACCAGTAGGCTTCAGTGGTTCTAGCCATTCATAAAAAAATTTGCCATCTTGAGACTAGATTATTACGATAGCAGCGATTATTCTTTGCTTTGGTTTACTCTTGGCAAAGCTTTTCGATCGCAGCTTCGGACTTTTTCGCAGTTGGAGAACCCTGCTGGGTGCATTGAACACCGCTGACGTCTGTGGTGGAGAAAGAACGCTTTGTTACTTGGGACTAACGCGTTCACCACCACACCATGCGGGTTCTTCGTTTCGCCTTTTTTTCAGGCTTTCTCCTGTACAGTTATGTCTGATTTTAGACGCTAAGACGGAGATATGCTTACTTCCTTAGATTCTTGGAGGACCCACCTTCGCGAGTTGTGCGGACCCTAGCACATTTTCATTCCTCCTTTTTTTGTCTGCTTTGCGATCATCGTCCATGGTGGTTGGTGTGAGTCTCATACCATTTTCTGAAAAATAGCGGAAGCTGCGAGGATAACTGATTCATTTTAGTCGCAATCACGTCCGTACGTTCTGTAGATAGTTGTCGCAGAAGGTGCCTGCATTCTTGTGGAGTCCACTCTACAGTTTTTTTCGTTCTTCTGTTGTCTGTTTTCTCATTACATGAACATCTATGTTTCGCTATCGATGTTCTCTTGCGTCTCGAAGATGAAGTAGAATTCGAAAATCAGAGCTTCGTATTTCGATAACATGTTGTGTTTACCGGTTATACTTCAGAAGAGCTCATTAAACGGCTCGGTGAGTAGTGTTTACCATCACTCATGTGGTTGAAGCACAAGCCCACATTTCTGCTGCACAGCAGAGTGCTTGGAAAACTGCCCAATAGGAAAGATGAAAGAAGATTTTTGGACCCTCGGTCGCATCTCATTCGATCGAGTGACTTCATTGTCCACTCCAGTGCGGAACAAAACAGCTTTGGCGATGCTGTATCGTCTTGTTGAACGCCTTTTCGTATTGGCGTGGTAAGAGGTCGACGGAAAAGCTGTGTTTTCGTGTTTTCGTAGCGCAGCTCCGATGACAATTAGACAGAGTTCCTATGTAGGAGGGGTCCACTACTTGATCGACGAACGCTGATAGGTTTGCATTTTCTAAACCAAATTTTCCAACCCTGCATTCGTTCTTCGCTCTTTAATATTTTGGCGTTGAAGCCCTCTAGAGCAAATTTACAACACGATTTATAATTGTGGATAATTTTTTCTAACTGATAGCAGGATGCATCTAATATGTTCTCATCAACTTCATCGGTAGGCAAGTAGCAATTGATGACAATGATCTTTTCATGACGTGTTAATTGAAGACGAAGGACGGCCTTGAGTGGGGAAAGGATCTCGTGGGAGTCGACAAGGTGAACAGTATTGGTCGGGTGGGCGATAAAGCCTACGCCACTGACATTTTGTGACGGAAACTCTTAACCAGCGAATACGAAAAGTGCCATTGTTTAGCTCGCTCATGTTGCCCTTCTTGCTTTGTTTCTTACAAGGTGACCACGTGGAATTTGACGCGATTTGCGGCTTCAAGAGCAGCACGACGATCGGCGTCTGAGAAGACTGTTCTGACACCATGCATGCAGAGAAAGAAAACAACATTCTTGGTGTGCGTGTTGGTCAGATTCGGTTCCAGTGAAGTCCTGCCTAACCTAAGATTATTTTGCCTCTCATCACAGAGGGGGCACCCAGTGTACAGGGTACTGAGGTTGCCCTTTTTTTGGTTGGGCAATCTGGTCTTGTTTAGAGTCCTGAATTAACCTCTCAAGGAAGATTTCAAGTCTTCACCACGATGTGGATTTTTGGAAAATATCTTTTCGTAAATCAGTCTTTCGGTAGGTCTGCCTAATAGTTACTAGTCGGCTTGGACATGATATTAAAAGGAAAATTAGAAATGAAGGTAGGAATGAAAGATTGATCGACCGTTTAAGGGCGACATAGAGGCCGAACAATCACAGAAGGAGATGGAGAAATATATAGTTGCTTCTCCCACGTCCGACTTTCTATTAACCTCGGCACTGATTGAACAATTCTTTCTATTTCCGTTCAGCAAACACGAGGTGAAGCGTAATGTCTTCCATGTGAGTTCTGTGCGGTTGCTCTTCACACGACATACTCAGTGGAAGACTCATAGAAAGCGGAAAGCGAAATCCGCCGAAACGTCAGCTTTTACGTGAGTGGGGAAGTGGAATAGCACCTCGTGTTTGCTGAACAGAAGTGGAAAGAATATAGTTGCTTCTTTGGTTTCTTCTTACCAAGTGAATGCTCTTCAACATAATCTCCGGCTGTTTCACTTCGGAACCCATCGTCCATAAATCTGGTCGGTCACTCTCTTGGTAGAACGATGCTGTCCTCATAAGTCATTGTTCCATTACGAATCACCAATGAAATTCGAATAAACCTCTGCAGTTTTCGTCCACTAGAAGGAATCCGTGTTTGTGTCGATTAAAGTTTAAAATTTTAAGTATTTTATTAAACAAAAGCAGAGAGACTTTTGAATAGTGTATGCGCTCTGTGTTTGAAAAAAAACTTGCCACTAAATAATAGAAGAAGGTATTTGAACACTTTCCAAGAGAAGAAGTGGAAGACACTGCTGGAGAAGGTCGAGTTGTTCGGAGCTGTAATAGTAATGGATAGTTGAACAGCTAGAAAGAATGGGGACCTCTTGGTCCCGGTTTTTCGCAAACTAGGGGCAGCACAGCTATGTCAGATTTTCTGGAACGTCTCCGGTGCATCTTTTGTACAGTATTGCTGCAAAAGACGAACGATCCGGTGCATGCTATCAATCAATGTAGCCGAGGATTCTAAAAAAAAAGTCAGACTGATTGGAGCTAGTGTGGAGAAGAAAGAATGATTCGAGTGTTGTGGCCTGAAAAAACGTTTGTACTTATCCCACGTACCTAATTCATAGTTGATCCATTTAGAAGGTCGTGGTCTATTAAGGTGACTTACTTCAGCTAAATTTCTACGATTTTACCAGAAATTATTTGGCCCATATAACAAAGATTAAAGGAGAAGGCCCTCGGGGTTGATCAATCCGTGAAGCATGGACTATGCATTCGACTTTTTCAAACTTCGTAGAGGTGATTGAACAAACATTAGGCTTGTACAATGATTTGTACTCGATGCTGCTATCATGCAAGACAAGTCTGCTATCAGTTTGCTGATCGATCCCGCATGGATGGAAAGATTGGTGAGCTCAGGATGCTGGATCGAATCAGCGTACCGATTCAGTGTGTACTACAGCGCATCTCTTGCCACTGCGCTATAGGCGTCCATAGGGTAGGACATGGACATCTTCGAGGATGAAATTTTTGTTCATTTTATTCATGGTCATAACACTTTGAAAACCTAAGGAGTGAAGGATACATCATCTCCGTAGGGAAAGGGCTCGATTTAAGAGTATACCTGGCTTGTAGCAGCGCATGTGGTTTTGCGTGATTTTGCCTATTACTGAACATTATCTTGAACGTCTTTGAGGTAATCAGCGGTTGTTTACAGTAATACGAAGAAGAACTGTCGAAAAACATAAAGCCAACTGGGCAAGATGTACAACAAAGGGCAAATAGCCGAAAACCACACATATCGTACAGTTTCTTCAGGAATAGGTTAAAGTAATGTATTTAACAATAAGATGGATTTCACACATACCATGGGTTTTTGAGAAGTGTTCGCCTGCAGCAGAATGTGTTTTTGAACCAAAACATCTACCTGGCGACCACACCCTAAGAGGAGAAGGCGATGAAGTGGACAGAGGAAGTAGACACTTGAATGTCTAGAGGATCAACGTCGCCAGTAAACAAGAGTGCCTTCGACGAAATGAGTCAAGATGGTTGTCGGTTATCTACATCACTTCCTTCCTTGTTGTATGCGGCTGATTATTCAAGGGCATGGCAGAAGTCAAAAGTCAACGACCAGATGATATAGTCTTCGGAATTAGTCGATAGATCCCATCTGAGGGCAAGGAAGAAGTGCTTTTGATCATTTGTGACTTTGTCATTTGATTCTTCGTATTTTTGTTGAACAAACGCGAGGTGTTATTTTATTCTTTGTTAACGAATAAACTAAGGTTTGGCGGATTTCGCCTTCCTCAGACCCTGGAAAGGTCAAGTTGACATCAATCTATTGAACCAAACACCTTCATAACCAAACAAAGCAAACGCTAAACCAAGATTTCAATCACATTAAACACAGCTTTGCCTTTCTATGAGGCTTCCACTGAGTATATCGAGTGAAGACCAACCGCACAGAATTCACATGGAAGTGTAGTGTGCTCCTCCCATCAGAATAACAGACTAATATACTGCCCAATATCACGCGTGATAATGAGGTATCCTTCTCTGAGGTTCATTTTCGGATCTCTGGAATTAATCCAGAACGCCTGGAGAGTTTTGCTAGCTTGTGTTCTCGATTCCTGTGCGAGGATCGTGACACGTACTTCAAAGTCCTCCCGTTATGTCTTGGGTTCTATGCGTGCCTAGTGGGGTATTTGGTTTGCGTTTGCGACTAGGTGTTCTTTTATGCGGACACAGAGGGGTCCGCCCTTTTCGCCAATGTATTCGTCTCCGCACGCTTTACAGGAGATCAGATAAACTGTACGCGAGCTCATGCAATCACCGTCTCTGCCATTAGGGCAATTTATGCAATTTTGAGTTGCACACAGACGGTCATATAGGCGGTTACGAAGTAGCTGGCGCTTAAGATTTCTCGGTGGTATTTCAACTACGCTTACCGAATTCTCTAGACCCGCCCTTCCTAAGCAGCGTTTTATAGCTGTACTTACATCATTTAAGATAAAGGGTAGGATAAACGGGACCTTTCTATCGCTAGAGTTGTCGTTTGGGGACCTAGGATTTTCCTTACACCTATCCCGAGCTACAGTTTCGTAGCCATTAGAAACGGCTATTTGCCGTGCCAAGTTCCGGGACTCCTCTCTCTGCTCTTTTCCCGTGCACACGTTGGTTGCTGTTCGAAACATGTTTCTTATAAGCGCCCTTTTCGTGTGAGAGGGGTGAGAGGAGAGGTAATGAACCAAGATGTTTTTACTACTTGGCTTTCGGTACCACTTTGTAATGTAGCCATTTTCTGATAGGTGAATTTGTACGTTCAAAAATGGAAGCCATTTTTCTTTCGACTTTTCTCGGGTGGACTTGATATACTCTGACTGTGCGTTTAACAATTCGAAACATTTATCCATTTCCTCTTGTGTTGAGCAAAGGACAAAGCAGTCGTCTACATACCTACAGTAGAGTAGCGGCCCGAGATCAGTCACCGGTGCTTCCACCTTAGACATAAATGCAATGGCAAGGCTTGGAGCCAGTCGTTGTCCCATTGCCAACCCTCTTATTTGAGCGTAGTACTTTCCGGACCATCTGAAGATTGAGCAGCTTAAGCATTCTTTTAAGAGTGCCATCAGGCGCTTTATTTTGAAGCCATACATGTTTATTTCTCCTTCGTGTTATATAAGGAGTTCGAATAAGTCTTGCATTGCGGAGTCATTCGAATCAAGGGCGGTAACGTCGAAGAACTCCATGACGTACGCACTTCTGGGCTGCGCAGTACGTAAGACGATCTGGAAACATCTGGGTATTCGTAAGATGGTTCTATCCGTTGGCCCGTCTACACAGCTAATGATAGATTTAACCTTAAACAAAGATGGATCGGTAGACGCAAGATCATCGCTGGATGCTAATTTATGAGCTTTTATGAGCAAGTACAAGACAGGACATATTGGCAAGTCAACTTTTAGTTGAGAGATGACTGATGGTTTTAAACCAGCAGCCATTGCCATTTTGGCTCATTCGTGGTTCAGTTTTCGGTATTTGCTTTTGAACTCCCTCTCAGATGATGGGCGATAAAGTGAAGCATCTTCAAGATGCTTTTCCGTTATCTCCACATCTAACTGATGGAGAATTACGACAAACTCTGTACCCTTATCACTAACGGATAGTCTTATGTTTTTCAACCTTATCGACTCTCGTACCTCTCGCATACTACGTTTTTGCACTTCGGTGAAGTTTGAGCTGAATCTTTTCACGCGATAGTGATTAAGGACTTTGAGAGTTTCATTCGTAATAATCCGAAATTTAACATTAACTTCATTATTGGGCTCTCGTTGTCTAAAGAATGGCTGACGAAATGGTGCTATTGGTAGAGCCCCCACTTGGTGTTGTTCGCACCTATTTTGCGTTTCATCTCTAGCTTTTTTGCGGAGTCTATCTTGAAGTTCATGTAAACTACATGCGACTCTACGCGAGGCTATCTTAGAAATGGGTTCAGATGGTGAGAAACTCGGTCCCAATTCTAATAACGAGCGCGCACCGTCAGGGAGAGTCATGTCTCCTAGCGCGGTTAGTCTTGAATTTTCATGTACATTGTTTATCTTACTGTAACCAGTTTGATGTTCGATAGCGATATTTCTGTGCGCTCTTGAAGCCGTATTATGCGATTTACTCAAAAGGTCTTCTAATTTCCTCCGCAAAGTTACTTTAGCATCAGACGTAATAGAGTTGCAAATCAACACTAACCTGCCCACTATTCTCTTCCATAGACGGTCCTCCAAATACTGAGCACAATGGTTTTCTTTCTTCTCGCACTTTTTCCACTTAGCGAACATCTGGTTTTGTTTGCTTCGTATACAGGTGCGCAGTACTTGCAATTCGATGTCCAGTACTCGGTGGCTGTCCTCTGCTAGTCCGCATACATCGTGTAGTCTGCAATTTGATTCTGTTGAATACTGCCACACTTGTAGAAGTGGCTCATATTTTAATATATTTTAAGAACTTAGTTTGGAAAAAAGAAGCAAGTGCTTTTTACGATTGAATAATCGAGAGACCGCCGACTGCAGAGCGATTCGTAATCGATCAATCATTTGGTTGATGCGTATATAATCAAACCGGTCTCATTCAAATATCTATGAAGAGCGCTAAGATGTGCGAATATGGCAGACTCAGCATTAGAGATGCGAGTCCTTTAAGAAAAAGTTTGCATTCGCGGAAAAAATACATATTGATTGGAATTGAAGCAGTAACGGTACATTGAACGAACAGTTTTGAATTTCAGAGCAAAGCATGGAAATTTCATCCACTACCTGTCACCTATCCATTCGATAGATTTGCCGTCTCATCCAATTCAGAAATGTGTAATGAACTCGCAAGGTAATCAGGTTTAAATGTGGAAAACACCTGATAGACTAAATCTTTGGCATGGAAAAAGTTCAGACTTACCTGTGGGGAACCTAGACACACTAGGAATTTCCAACGTCCAAAGTACCTCTACAGAAACGAGTGTTATAAGGTTTTTTCGTTTCTCATTACGAAGCAGTTATGCCACGTTGGTGCTGCTCCCTAGATACCCTCCATTTATTCAACGTGAAAAAATTGGTGAATCCAACAAATGGTTGTTCCTTCTTTTATATTGAAGCGAAATACTGAAAATGCCATTTTGGAGCGATTGTTCTGCTTTAGGTCACTTATTTTTAATTTTTCTACTTTAGAATACTTCATGTAGAAGGTCACAGCTTTCTCGGTGTTGCCACTGCAGTTATGACTTGTCTTCACATCACCGAACCAAATCGTAGAAAGGTCTATGACCCAGGAGTAGCGATATTCGCTGACATGTGAGTAGTTTTATGTTATTTAAGCCCAGTCTATTTCTGTTGACGCCCACTCTGACGAAGATCTGTTTCTGATCTTTGTTCGAAAGTGTTCCACTCAACTAGTTAGTACTAGTTCTATTGAATTCAAATCGTTTTCAAGAAAAAAAAAAGGGAAGAAATAGTCAATTTTGAAGGAAAAACAAGATCTGCCAGCAGACGACTGGTGTTCCGACTTTGATGGACAACTTGTTCACCAATAAGAACACTTTTCTTCAAGACCGTATGCTTTCTTCATTTTTAATAAGAATAAAAAGAAAGTGCTATACGTTGGTCAATACCTGAGGAAAGCGCCTTACACTCCTCTCCATTCGTTGGATCGTAGAGGTTCATGGTTGCACACCTGGCCTATGAATGGCACCAGTTACTCAACTCCGAAGGCATGGAAAGCTTGATAAGCGCAGAGTGCGCGATTAAGCCAGAACCAATCCAATGACTATTTCAGGCCATCCTTAATCCTTGCTCCATACCGTCCATGGATTTTTTTATTTTCCCCAAATTGAAGAAACCATTGTAACACAAAGACGACTTTCTGCACTGAATAACACCTTTCATTATGATCCAATGTTCAAATTGTAGATGTAATGCGTGGTTAAAAATTACTTTATTTATTTCCTGTTGATGATTCTAGAGACATTACAAGCACTGTACGGTCGTCTTGACCCAGTAGAACGATCAACATTGGCGGAGAAGTTCAAAAGGTATGATAGATGCTGTGGCTTTCCTCAACGATTTCCTATCTGGGTGGTATATGTTTCCATAGTTCGTCGCAATCTCCTATTGAGTATTCGGTCGTTGTGTGAATGTATATGTAGGTGGGCATGCTTACTTGAATGTACGTGTTGTGTGTATATAGAGGTGCATGTAGTGAATACTAGCTAGTGCTTAATATATTTAAATAATGTTTGCATCCTTGCAGAAGATTTAGTAACTATCCTGTAAGCAAAACCTTAGCCAGCTATATTCGTAAGCTAGGGACCGCATTGCACTTCATGGATAACTATGGGTAAGTACTCCTTGTTATTTGGAGATTCCATGAAAAGTACTGGAATCGCCGAAAAGAAACATTTTTCATAATTGAATTTACAAGAAACGTCATGACTTTGTGTATTACTACTCTAAAGCAATGCATCACTAAAAAGTCGGTCATCCTATGAAAAAGGTGAGTTATGGACTATGAGAAATTTAGGCGGATTCTTATAGGAGTAACGCAGTCACTGAAAGAACACTACCAGTAGAATGAGCGCCGATCTGTTGAACGCACACACCACCTGTGTTGGTGTCTGGCATTTTCTTTGTGCTCAAATTCTTCTGATCGCATTTACTCAATGTAACGATGATCACCGTGCCATGAATGGCGGTGACAGCGAAAGGAAGCGTTTGATTCTACGAAACGTCGTTGAACCGAATATTCAATTCTATATGGTGATGAAATTCAAAACAATAAAGGGCACGAAAGGGGCCCGTGTAACACAAAGATTAAAAGCGCTTTACGATGGGCATGGTCAGTGGCTCCGTTCCATGCCTTGGGCAAAGCAAGCGCGTTGTCCAAAGAAGACCAGCAAATCGGCATCAGACTTATACGCGATGTTAGAAACTCTGGCATTATAACGATAAGTCTATGAATCACGATAAGATTGCAAGTTATTGTACAGATAAAACACTTATTCGATTTCTTTCCATTACTGTACTTAACAGAATCGAGTACATGAGAGGGTGGCATCTCTAAGGAATTAATCAACGACGGACGCTTTGCCCATTGTCCATTGTCCTTCAAGACGTCTGAATTGAGAGCGCTACACGATTCTGATGTGCTGAGGAAACCGGTTTTTATGGTCTCACGATTCATCTAGATAACACTATAAGACTTTGATCAGTCGAACAGCAAATGAAAGTGATACGGTTGACAGCGAATGAAGTAGAATTAATGGGCTACCTATGAAACTACGTTGATTGATTTTAAAGAGGAAGTCATTCAAATCTGCTGTTGAGCGAAACACCATTGTGGAAGCAGTGAATAGTTCTGAATGTATTTTTAGTCATAGCTCATCTTGATCCTACTGTAACGTGGTTTGGTTTTCTCGCTGGGGAAGTCTGAGATAAATGTTATCATGCCTTTTTCAACAATGCCTGAAGTATCTTTTTCATAGAGCAGTTTTACTTTTTTGATAAAATAGTGTTAAGAGAAAAGACAAAAAGACAAGGCAAAAAATGTCCGTGGTTTACCAATCTCTTAAAAAAAGATTCACGTCGTCGACTCCATTGAGCCTTATAGACGTGGTCAGATGCATAGTTAGTTTATGCAGACTCGTGAGGAGCTACCAAGGCATCACGTTAATGTTCTCTTCTATGTCTGCTTATAGTGCAACCGTTTGACCGAGGTTGTTCGAGGAGCGATGTCGTGCGCGTGGTTAGTGGTTCGACCGCTCACTCGGCTACCAGAGCACCAGCCTACATTTATCTCTTCATGATTCATAGATGAGGTTTTCACCAGCTTCATCGTTAATTGCTTGCTTGCAAGCATTTTTCGCTGGGGTGGGAAGGGATAAAAAGTGCTCATGTACAGCATTTATGCAGAAAGCTACAATATTCAAAGTGCACAATGGCAGAAAAAAACAACAACGAGAAAAATGACTGAGGTTTAGTTTTTTCTGACGCTCTTTGGATGAATGAACTAGCTGAAAGACAGGGGAAACAAAGAACACGCATTGTGTGGTGGTGAACGCGCTAGACCCAGCAAAGGGTATTAGCGCGTTCGTTCCCCATTGCAGACACTTGCGGTCCGGAATCTTGCAAATATCTCAGCATCACTGAAGTTCTTTGGATGATTACTCACTTTCTAAAGCAGTATTCCATTTCGTTTATGATTGTTTCTGGTTTATTAAGCGAGATGTTCTACGACGATTCCACGGGAAAGGTGCTTCAGGAAGGAGACATATTTTTATCACGACTCCCGGGTATCTTTGAGGAGTTCGAATATGTGTGGCTAAGCTGTTTTTTTTCCAATTCTTTTTGTTACTATAGAAATTTAAATCAGAAAAGAAAGTTGATATGATTCGACGATATGACGATGTCGCTCTACTTATGAATAAATTTGTTACATCATTTTGGAAAGAGTCAGATACCAGAAGCGAATGGATTTGTACCGACTATCGACGGAATTTTCGCTTCGTTTACTACTTTTTTTTAATTTGAAAAAAGTTATCACAACAACAAAGATAAGGCGCAAAGCAAGACTTTATCCCACTTGTAAATAAAGAGGATAATAAAAGGATAAAAAAGCACTCGCCGTTCATCAATCCCTTCGCGGATGTGCTATGCATTCGACTTTATTAAGTATCGTTTGGAGGTGATTGAAAGCATATCTGGCCTTTATCATGACTCGCGGTGGTGCACCAATGTATCGAGGCAGTGCTAATATCTTCCCAGACAGGTCTAGTATCAATTTGCTGACCCCGGAGGGATGGAAGGCTTAGTGGGCCATAGGCGTGAGGATCGCTTCCACATGTGTTGCAGAGCGCCTTCGACCACTGCGCCAAATGCACCCCATACGTCTAGATAAGCATAGTAAATTATTTTTAGATAGAAGATTGGAATCTTTTCAGCTTTTTGTGAAATTGCCATACACATATTTATTGAAGACAACAGGAGACGCGTCCATAACCATCGTCTCTATAGGCTGTCTTCAAGCTTTCGTGAACATTTAGAAGCTATGATATGAAAGCTTGTGATAGTCTGCATGATCATCGCTTTACTTAAGTTTTCATTTCCTTTTTCGTTCGTCTGCCTTTTACTTTTTCTCTATCAAAGTATTATGTGGTTTAATTTCAGCTGGATCGGAGCAATACCAACTCATCACGCGCATTCCATAGTACGGCCATTTCCACGGAATCGGACTACAACCTCGGTGAGTAGCCCAACAAATCTTCTGGTGGAGCTAATCGTATTATTATTATTGTCAGCGAACGAACGATCTAAAGGACTATCTAAAATAGAGATTGCAAATGACAAAGGCCGATGATAGTGAAACTGCTGTCCATAGGGAAATCTAAGATGAACGATGCCGTCATCCGCCATTCAGTCAGGACGATTTGCATTGATGATCCTATCTGCTAGCTACTGCCCAGTATGAATGAATGATAGGCGTCGTAACATCATCAAAACCATTCATTCAATATACGAGATTTGCATTGATTGACTAAGGGGTTTAATTAAGGATTGTTTTTTGCAGAGACAAAAACCAAACACCAGTGTTAGGTAGGCATGAAGATAGAGAGCGAAACTATCAGTTTCCTCGTCACATTGTAGATGCACATTTTCCCCAAGAATGTTATATGTCCCATCATGTAAAGTTGGCAAACTAACTGCCTCATTTAAAACTGATTTCCTTCAATTAACAAGTTTTAGTGGATGGTTAAATAGATACGCAGAAAATCTTCAGGTAATGAAATCTTTTATCATCAGACAACAATACCGATATGGACTTATGGCAAAGCATCGAACAAAGCGACTGGGCAGACAATGAGCCAATTTCGTTTGTCGGTAATCGCTTGGTGTGTCTACCGCGTGAACCGGGGAACTCGTCCGTAATGCAAGCAATTCTCCGATCTTTTTCAGGTTTCTCTTCCACACAGTATTTTCAGACCCTATAAACCACAGAAGCTACTTTCTATTAGTATTTTTGTCACAATCACCTACATAAGTGAATATGATTCCGAAAGAATACTGTAGTACCTGATAAGTGTCCGACGTATTGTTTCTGACTGATGGCTTTAAGGAATTCCTATTCGTCTCATAAGGCATCAATCTCGGCTCTTGTAATCTCGCGTTCGCTAATCGGGGAATAAATAGGAATCTTCAGCTTTACTTTATCCTATAGGTCTATGGTTTACAACGTTCTCGTCCCCTTAACTGCCACTCGCTTACTGCTGGTGGCGTAAAGGCTCATTACGTGGTCAGCTGACGTGA